TGGTCTTGAATTACGCATCTTTCAAGTAATCTACCATATTCTTTAAGGACCTAAGATAAAATAGTGGTTTTGTTGGTTTGTTTCATTTCTCGCCTTCTGGTTTTTCTGGTTTGCAAGACTCCAGGAGAGCCTAACCTTATCATCTCTTCACTAGTAGCTCCCTGGGACAGAGGATGTACCCCCTTTTAGTGATCCGAGAGTTACTCTATTCCTGTAGATGCCACAAGAATAGGAAGAGAGCAGTGGTCGCCTGCTGCTTCTCACAGACCCCTCACATCATCACCTGGGCCAGCACTCACATACAAGAGCCCTGCAGAGAGATGACATTTGCCTGGCTGTGTAGGGCTTAGTCCTACAAAGCAGGATCAAAGAGAGACCTATATGACATCTACATGGCAGCTGTTTGGGATAAGTTGTTCTTGTCCTAATCACACATTTAACACAGGGTTCGTGTTCTAAAGTCATCAGGATCACCAAAATGGGATGAGATGAGATGTGCTTTGGCAGAGGTAGATTAATGGAGGTGGCTCTCCTATGGAAAGTGGCACCCTCTCATGGGGACCAGTAACTACTGGTGAGTTCTGGTTCACGGCCCCACTGAAGAGGCCACAAGTAATAAAATAATCTTAGGGTCACTGTGTTCCCCAAAGCCTGAAGATAATTATGTTTCATAACTGAATCAGCTTTATATATTCATGAGTCCTAAATCAACCTGAAAAGGGATATAAGGGGCCATGAACTTGGTCTGCCCACTGCCAAGAGTCCATGTGTATGTGTCTGCTTAGCATAGTCTTGGAATCAAGCGCTGTTGGCTATAGACCTCAAAAAGATGGAAGAACACCAGTGGTAATTTGGAAGCTGCAAAGAGACCATTACAGTTGAAAATTAAACATATGTATACCGGGGCCTCCCAGCTTAATACTTTGGCCATGTTTCTTAATGATGATGCCACGAAGAATTTTCTATGGCCATAGACATGGCAGTGAGTGAATGTCCCTAGTTCCTTGATTCAGCACTTTCCTTTCTCACAGCAGGGGTTCTCAACACAAGGTTCTAGACCATAAGTATCACTGGCATTTAGAAACTTGTTACAAGTGAAATTCTCAGGTCCCATCCCAGGCTTAATAAATCAGAATCTGTTAAAATAAAGCCCACCAATCTGTTTTAACAAACCTTCTTGGTAATTCTGAGGCATGCTACCGTTTGAGATTCACTGTTCTAAAGGGAAAGTCAAGTACCTGAGTTTCCCACAGTGAGGGTTTTAGGACCAGAAATAACAAGGTCCTAGGTCATGACTTAGACTTTAATTTCTGTCACTTTCTCCTGCTTCTGTGGGTGGAAGCTAGGGGAGTGTCTCTGTCTCCCCTCTTTGGAAACAACCTTCAAAGAGTCTCTGGCTCTGAAATTTCTATCTGCAAACTAAGGGGCTTCAACAGAGAAAAGCAGCTGGAGGTCTCTTCCAGATTGCTCTTCTGCTGGATTATTTGTGTCTACGCTCAGCCTTGGTCTGATTATGTAACAGGTTGGGCAAAGTTAAAAAATTCTGATTTGTGTTTCCATGACAACTTATTCTCCCAGCAACATCCCTCTCCCTTAGTTGAGTTATAAAGGGCAATGTCAAATCTGAGAACCTGTGCAGAACCTCCCTCCCTGGAGGCAGCTAGCAGCTGGAGGGCTCAGGCTCCAGAAGGCGCCCCCTTCCACACTCTGCTTGCTCACAGCAGACTTCAGCCAGATGAGACAGAGTTCTGGGGCTCATCCTTTCCATCCCCCATACCAGGACCTGGAACCAGAACTACTCAGCCATGGTGACAGAGTAAAATCCTTAAAAATCTGATTTTAAAGATTTCCACTCTCAGATTCTAGCTGTCGGGCCCAAGTGGGAGAAGGCGCTATGGACAACTGGTTTTGTTTCAAGTTTGTAAGTTTTCCCTGTGAGGGAGTTGTGGGTAGAGGACAAAGAAATACTTAGTACTGGATCCCTCAGCTCTGGAATGAAACCTTTGGAGGAGGGACAGAGCCCGAGGATGACAAATGTAAAAGGACTGCACTAAAATCATGCCCTCAGTTCCCAGAAGGCTGACCAAGGGTCCTTTGGGCACCTCCTGTGAGATGACCTGCTTCTTGCCATTTCTGAGACTGAAGATGTTGGCCAGTCAGATAAGCATTTTGAATTCCCAGCCAGTCTCTGGGCTACTGCTGTGCAGTAGCTTCCCACTTCCTGATTTTTTATTATTTTCTTTTTAACAGAATAATCTTTTTAAATGAATTCCAACTCCTGCTAGATTCCTTTCCTTCCTGCTCCTCCCCTCCCCATTCTGTTTTAGGCAGCACTGTATGTGATGGAGTCTGTTTCTCAAATGCATGGCAAGCCTCAGGCAATAGGTGGGCAGGACTTTTTTTAATTTATTGGGTACAAGACCCCAAACCAGGATATGTGTGTGTCTGTGTGTTTCTGTTTTTTCTCATCTGACCTGCCCTTCTTTCAATCGGCCCCCTTTTATAGCTAATGTAAAGAAAAGCAAAACTGAATCTGGAAAGCAGAACATTGTATATAGTTGCGGTAACAATCACGAAGAGAGCTGGACTGTCCCCTAAGTAATGCATTTTAAATGAAAAAAAAAAAATTGGTTGAAAATTAAATCCACACCAGGGTCAGCGGAGGAGGCCTTCCTTCATCGCCACCAGAGGCCCCCTCATCTGGACCCTCTGTCCATCAGGCATGTCTCCTCCCAGCAAGATTCATCTGTTCAATGCCATTTTGAGTTTCAATAAAGTTATTTCCTGTATTGTCCACTGGGTCTGTCTAGCTCCCTCTCTGTCTGGTTTTGGTCTCATTGATCTTGTAGCTAATTCCTTGATCAGGAATGTGAGAGCGCTTGTGTCATTTGCCTAACCCAGGGGTAAAACCCACCTGCCTAGAAATAGCTGAGCATCAAAGTCTGAGCAGGAGTCTCTGGACCCTTTTGATCGGGAGAGGGAGGGTCCCTGCTTGGTCACTGTGGACATAGCAGTCTTCCCGGGAACTTGACATGTCCAGCCCCAAGGTCGAGGTTCTTGAATCCTCCCTCCACTGCCACAGTGTCTGAAAACAACACACTTTGGACTTTCCTATGTTTTTTGCAGGGATAAAAGTGAGTTTGGGCCTCCCCGGTGGCACAGCGGTTGAGCGCTGGGTTGCGAAGCTGCCCGCGGCCTCAGCGGCGCCGGTTCCATCCCCGGCTGCTCCCGGCCACCGGAGGAGGGTCCCACATGGCGCGCAGACCTCTCCTGCCGCCCGCTGCTCCCCTTAGCAGTGTACTTCGGTCCTTCTGCCTGCTCTGCTCCCCGCTCTGGCTCTGGTGAATTCTCTCACCCTCCCGCGCTTCTGACTGTACCCAGTGCATGTATAAACAAAACAAACAAACAAACAAATAAATAAAACATGCCTCTATAAAATAAAAAAAAAAAGTGAGTTAACTAGGGAGGAAAGAAAATATTCTAATAGAGTTCTGTTTCTGTTGGTCACTGAAAGAAGGAAAGTAAGAATAAGAAGTCCTGTTTCTGCTGTAGAATGGCAGGGCCCAAGGAGTGTTTTCCTTATGAAATTGTGATTGCCCACCTTTGCCTCTAGCACGGGAGGTGACAAATGTGTTTCCCAAAATAAATGAAGGACTAATTCTTTTTGAAGAATTCTCAGACGAGGTGATTTAAACCCTGATTGTTACCAGTTTAGCATCCACAGTCTTAGAATGGGACTAGGAATTGCTACACTGGTTTCTTTTGCCATTTAGGATTGAGAGTCATAATTCCTAAAAACCATTTTAGGATACTCAGCCTTAACAGCTGACTGAGATATACCCATTCTTCTTGGATCTTGAACCTCCTTCCCCAACACCATGAGCCATTCCATCCCTTCTGCCAGCTCTGGCCTGCCCTGCCTTTTTAACCCCTGGGTAGTACTGCCCACCGGCTCCAGTATTAGGACTGTCTCTGCACCCCATGAGCCAGCTCCAGGGTGTCTATAATGAACTATTTTTTCTCCTCCATGCCTTAAAAATGCCAGCCACTGATTTCTCTGGGGCAAAATTATTTTTAACATTCTCAGATCCTAGGATTCTTTCTCAAATAGAGACATAAGTACTTACTTTAGAAGAAGCGCCTTTAGCACGCAGGTGCTCCCTCCTGCTCAGCCATTTCCATTTGGGGGCTCACCTGTGCAGAAATCAAGTGCCTGCCACCTTTGGATGATGGTCACGCCCCACTGCCCAGTGAGCTTCAGTTTCTTCTCCACTCCCTTTGGATTCCTGGGAGGAAGAAATGAAGAGACTCACTTGGGTTAACTCCTTTCATTGGAAGGGCCCAAGAAGGGCCAGTGGCACAGTGGGGATGGGGGATGGGGGCGGGAAGAGTTTGGTTTAAAGTAGGAGGGAATATTGGGCCTCCCTGGTGGCGCAAGGGTTGTTAAGCACCGCACTATGAAGCAGTCCGCAGCCCGGGAGCAAACCACATGGCGAGGCAGACCTCTCCTGTTTCGCCCTGCTGTTCCCCTCTCAGTGTATTTCGGTCAGTCTGCCTGTTCTGTTCCCCACTCTGTCTCTGGTGAGTCCTCTCACCACCACCACCCTCCCCCCCGCCGCTGCCCCCCCCCCCCCGCATCTCTGGCCTGTACCCCAGCTCTTGTATGCATAAATAAAAAACCTTAAAAAATAAAGGAGGAGCGAATATTTCTGACCCAGACTTCCATCCCATCTCCTCTCCATAAACAGTTTTATACCTGAACGATCCCAGAGTTTAAGGTCATATGCCATGGCCTTTATTCCAAGTGAGCTTGCTAAATTACTGCTTGTCTTTAGGAAAACCCCCTAATCCCTCTCTGGGGCCAAGTTTCGGTGCAGTTCCCGGTCGTCGACCGCCTGGTGGCGCTGTCTCCGGAGGCTAGGTACATTCCCCGCCCCCTCTCGCTCTGTTCAACGCTGGCGCGCAGGCGCGGCTTCGCGGATTGGCCGCGCTCAGGAGCCGTCATTCAGTGGCGGGTCCCGGGCGCGGGGCTGGCGGGCTGAAGGGAGGGAAAATGGCGGCGGCGGCTGCGGCTGGTGCGGCCTCCGGGCTGCCGGGGCCAGTGGCCCAAGGATTGAAGGAGGCGTTGGTGGATACGCTCACCGGGATCCTGTCCCCGGTGCAGGAGGTGCGGGCGGCGGCCGAGGAACAGATTAAGGTGCTCGAGGTGACAGAGGGTGAGTGAGGCGGGACCGTCACGAGGATGGCTCGGACCCGGGCCGGCCGCCCAGCGCGCTCGCCGCGGCCGGGGCCGGCGGGGGCTGGGGAGCCTGAGCCGGGGGCGGCCGGGCGCCGAGGCCAGCGGGCGGGGCGGGGGCAGCGATCGAGAGCTGATGTCTCTGGGGGCTGTGAAAACCCTGCTGAGGGGAGGCGCTCCTGGAGGAGAGGGTCGGGAGGAGGGGAGTGGAGGGCGGAGACTCGAGAGAGATGGAGCTCGGCATCTGCGGAGGCCAGCGGGGCAGCCGGACCCGGTGCTGTGCGGGGAAGTCGCGCAGCCTGGGATTTGATTTTATTTTTTCTTAGTTTAGGACCAGATTCTCGTAGCTGCTCTCCGCCAGCTCGGTTGCACTGGTGTGAGAGTAAGGGGAGCTCTTCGTAGAAGTGACGAGAGGTCAGGACCTTGAGAAAGCGACTCTCAAATCTTAGTAGATGACAGCAAACAAGTTTCTGCCTCTGAGTTATAAATGTAGCTGATCGTTTTTCCTCGTCGTGTTTTCCTAGAAATCAAATGAAATGCATGTGCAGCTGCTTCGCCTTCCTAACCACGTTCCCATTTATGTTCAAAATAATTGGCACTTAAATACCTCCGTGCCTTTCTATTTGGAGGAGCTGATCATCCTTTGTCTTTGATCCTTTGTCCCCATCCTCCTATTATAGGCTTTAAGGTGATGGAGAAAAAAAAGCATAAACTATTGTTTTGAGATTGTCTTAGCAATTTCCTGGGCAGTGGGCCTTGTGTCAGACCCCACTGTAGCCACTCTACAAAGAACAATTTGATCCTGTAACGGGAGAAGGGAAAATCTTCTTGATCTTTATATGAGAAAGATACCTGGTCTGTCAGAGCTTCCCTGGAAGTACTCCAAATGCTCAGGATCCCCCAGTTCAACAGAATTTTTCCACACCTCTTAAGGACCTCTTCTGAGAATATGGGCAATTGTCCGTGGTTGACTTTCATACTGGCCTTAGTATTTTTATGAAAAGAATATAAGACAAAATATCTCTTTAATCGTATATTCTTTCACAACATGAGAAACTCAATGAAAATGAATTTCCCTCAGTTGGAAATATACTGAGATTTTTGAGCTGACATTTTAAGAACCATTTTGAAGACCTAGTTGTAATTGTCATTGTTCTACAAAATGTCAGATCTTGCGATTGGAACAACCACTGGATAGGAGAGAGCTGTTTGAAAGCCTTGCATAGATTAATCTGAAAGTTATTACAACCTCCTAGGTAAAATTTCTCTAATCCTTGTAGTGTTCCCTGCCTCCCATGGCTAGGAAGGAGGAAGAAAGACAAGGCAAAGCAACTTCATCACATTCAAGTTATTACTTGAATATACAAGTTGAGGGTCTGATACCTTCCTTGAATGATACACAATATTCCTGGTGCCTCAAATGCAACTAAGAAAAAGTTGGACCTTGGCTCATATTTAAACTAGCCAAAACCCCGAGCTCCTCTTGGGCTCCAGTCCCTTCAACTCTAGCCAAAGTCGTGGCCTCATCTGTACAAGTCAATTACAAGCTTCTTGAACTTCTAGTTTCTCACTTTCTTCTTTTTATGTCTTGAAATAAAAAATTAAACAGCAGGGCAAGAATTTGCATTTGATTTAGGTCACTGATGCTAATAGATTGAAACACATACATACCCACCCCATAACTTACTGGTATTGTACTGTCATACATGCTGTGAGAAACATGGAGAAGCTCTGGTACAGTGACCTGATGGTATAGTAGTAAGGCATGTGATTCACAGGTTTACAATGTGGTATGTAGAATTGAATTTAAGTCTCTGGAGCTGAGTGTGGTGCTTTGGTCCCCTTGGAGGCAGTTTGTGTTTCTGTTTCCTTATATGTATTTTAAAACTATAGATGTTCACTCCCTTTGGTATCCTGTTTTTAGGTGAGGATGGTGATCGTTCCTCAGACACCCTTCTCTCCCTGCCCTATGGGTCCAGGGTGACTTTGGATCTCACATGTTCCCTGAACATGGTTTCTTCTCAGTAGCCATTGCCCTTCTTCACATGAAAATACACCTGTCTTCCCAGCCAGTAATTGGCCAGCTATCTGACTGATGGCATTGGCAGGATGCTTTTCCTGCTGTTTGAACACCCTACTGACCAAGGCAAGTAGCTGTTCCTGCCATTTGAATCAAATTAATGGAGTCATTCTCCACTTCTTTGGAGTTGCTGCAAATTTGAGTTTTATCCTAATAAAGCTTTCTGGTCCTCGGAAACACACTTCCTTATAATAAAGTTAGGGAAATCTGGGAGTTGGTATGTATTATTATTTGTGTTCTGATAGTTGTTTGATCCTTTTTTGATTCTGTGTGGCCCTCAGTCAGATGACAACCAAATCTGATTGATTATCATCATGGGGTTTTTGCAATATATTGCCTCTGGAGAGTGGTCCCAACTGATTCTGAAGACGAACCTTTGACAGGAAGGTGTGCCCCTTCCTTGACTTCCATGTGATGACTCCTAGCCTTGAGGATAAAATAAAAGAATCTAATTTCAGGGTGGGGAGGAGGGAAGGGTGCAGTAAAATGGATAGACAGGAGAGGTGACATGCTCTCACCATATTATGAGGTAGAAGAGTTTTTAAGAAGCAATTATCTTAGAAAACTGAGATTGCTGGAGCCTGAAGTACATCCCAGTCATTCAGTCTGCCAGAAATAATTTGCCTATAATTAGTTCACGTTTTCCAGAATGGTAGCCTGTTCTCTTAAGCTAAGGAAGTGTGAATATGTGAGAAGGCCGATATAGAAAGAATTAAGATAGGTTGTTTCATCAGCTTGTGTCCTGGAATGATTTTAGTTATTGTGCTTTCGATTTTTCCTAGCCACTTGGATTTGGGGAAAACTCAGTAAACGTTTCTGACTAAAGTCTTATTTATTTAACAAAATTAAAGGAGATGGTACCATTAACTGCTTCTTTGGATAGTACTGCATTCTCAATTGCAAAGCACATTACTTGAAAGTTTGGAAGTGCCTTTGCTGTGTGGTGTTTCAGCAGGTAATTGGTATCCTTTCATTTGTCTTAGGAGGATTGAAATTTTGAGTTTGAGCAGCAGGGTTTGCAGGGATTTAGTTTTTCTCCATAAAGTAAAAGACTTTTATCTGTTGGGACAGTCTTCTAATTCTGTTTTATTTAACTGGCAGGGTAATAGCAAGCATTTTATAAACACGGTAAATAAAAAAGAGTGGAAAGGTGAATTGCCAAAGAGCTCTTATGCCAAAGGCTGGTGTTCTCTCTACTCAGCTGCCTCAGCTCTTTTTAGTCTGACTTGTAAGATCATGACTTTTGAAAATGTCAGTTCTTTATTTTTGATGTATTTATGCTTTTTTTTATATCCTAGAATGAGGGGTTTTTTTTTCCCCCCTACTTTTTCTTTTCTCTCTCTACTTTCCTCTAAGTAACTTCACCCAGGTGGTGCAGTGGGTTGCTTTCATTCACAGCTTTAGTTCTCTAGAGCAGCACAGCAGACTTTCATCTATAATTAAAGTTAGGCCTTAGGTCACTTTCCTTTAGTTATTTCTTTTTGTCTATCAAAATTGACGATGTTCCCCCCATAGTTTGGCCTTGACTTTGTCTTTGCTGTCACAAAGACAGACAACTATCACCGAAAATACGTTTTTTTTAATTTCTTCCACCACCATTATATTGAACAGGGGGTGGGTGGGTGGGATTATCTCTCCCTCACCTTTTCTGGCATTCTGTTGTTGCCCAAGTAGCTATGTTGATTCCCCCATCTTAGATGCCTAGAGAGATGATTCTGCTGGCTGGAAGTTTGCTTTCTGGTTCTCATGGGCACTTTTCTGGCTCTCTTACAGTATAGCGTAAGCACTGTCACCTGCGAAGGGAACCCCTCAAGGATCCAGACGCACACCTGGGCATGTGGCAGGCACTGAGCCGAGGGGAAGGCGGCCACGCTCGGAAAAAGGCCAGTGGTGGAGTTTTCTATTTCCTTTCATCTGTGGTTTTGTGGCACTTATCGACCCTCATGAGATAAAGGGGCTTCTGCAGAACTATACTTAGAACTCCCCCCTTCCCCAAACAATGCTTGTTCATAGTTCTTCCTAAGAGTAGCTTCCCTGACTAGCAAAGCACTGCCAAATCTCATGTCTCTAGTAGATCCTTAAGACCTGTAGCGGATAATTCTTAGCCTGTCCTCTATCCACTGTGATCTCCTTTGAATATTCCCTTCTGAGCCAAGTTTTAGTTTATTTTTTTGCCTACTGCGATGAAAAGAGAGAAAAGAGAGCAAAGATAACAAGAGAAGGGAACAAAAGATTTAAAACACAAAGAGTGGGTTAAGAAAAAAGGGCAAAGGATTTCTTAGAAAGGAAGTCAGGGCATGCCATTTGGATTAAAGGTATAATCAAGACTAGAGTCAGAGTGAAAACTCAGGTGAACAGACTGAGTCTATCCTTATTTCACCTTGGGGAATTAACCTAGAGAAATTAAGTTTCTGAGCAAAAATGGCTTAGAAAGCTAACTTCACACTACCTATTTGGGAATGTTCCTCTTTAGGTTAAATCTCAATTTAATGTGAATTGGTCCTTTGCATGCAAGACAATATAAAATAACTGTGTCTGTGTCTCTTCTATTTTCCCTGCTTAAAGCATCTCAAAGTAAGTTACTCAGCTGTTCTAGCCAATGCTTTCTATAGAAGTTATGCTTATACTAGTAAGCAAAGCTGGAAATTCCCAACGTACAGTAAAGCAAATAAAAGTAGATTTTTCTTTACAAACATACTTTAAAAAATATTCCTTTAAAAATATTGATTAGTCTTTATTATTGATTAGTCTCTGCAAATAAGGTTGTTACTGCTTAACAGAAATCAGCAATGGGATGAAGCCAACTGTGTTGGTCAGATTTAAAATAACTCAGAGAACTTGAGGATTTTTTTTCTGGCTTTTCCCTTCAGTTTTATAGCAGAGTTCACTGTTAACACTCTGCCACTACCATCACTCTTTGTAAACAATTCTTATAGCTTTCAAGTAAATTAAGGTTTTATGAATGAAACTCTTCTGTAGTGATTGATACCCCTATTTTCTAATGGGTATGGTTTAGACAGAGTGCCCTTATAACTTAATGCAAATGAGTTCTCTGTCTTTGGATTTTTTTGGGTTTCCAAATCAGAATCAGTTATGTGATCATCATTTTGAAACTCTGGGAACCTATAGAGGACATCTGTTCTGTTCATCCATTCGGTTTTAAAAATTGTCTTTAGTTAAGGGTGATTTTGATCAGAGTCACGTTACTCAAGCTCTCCAATTTCTTTCCTGTATGGAGGAACTATCAGAGAAAATTCACCTTAAAATGCTGGTTGTGGGTACAGATCCCCTGGTTGATTTAGGCTTCTAGTCCCCGCATGATCTTAAACTTCCCAGTATCTCTTACTCCACCATCTCTTAAAATTTCAGTGATATGTGAAGCAAGGTGACTAATGGAAATTGGAGTGGGACACAGATTAAAGGTTGAGTGAAGAACTTCAGCTGTTGTGCTCATTGCTAAAGTATCGCCTTTGGTACTAGTTCAGAAAAAATGTGTTCACTAAGTTTTTCTCTAAAAAGTTCTGCATTGATGAGAAAGGGCCCCCAAACTGGCAGGATCTGTGCTTAAGGTTTGCTTGTTCTTTGTGTTGCAATGACTCATTTAGTCGGTGGGCTTTTCCCTTCTGTGAGCCTCAGGGTTATCCTGCAGCTGTAACAGTATCTTTGCAGCAGCTGTATAGTAACTGTAACAGCACTTTCATTGGAAAAGTAATTTTTCAGATTTGTTTTAAGATTTAGAGTCTCAATTCAAGTTTCGAGTCTTTCTTAAAAATTTCATTTTATTCCTCACAATCTTTCTTCCACCACATGATTAAAGGTCTTGTTCATCTTGATCCTTTGATCATCTTTGTCCCTGTAGGGATGATGCAAAGATTATTAAAATGGCACCTTAAAAGAAAATACGGTATGGCCCGGGTAATTTACAAATGTGTGCTTATAGATCATTCTGAAGGATGTTATATGAGGCAAAGCAGAATCGGTTCACTGTATCTGGGAAGGCCAAGTCTAGGTGGACATTCTCTAGAGTTGGGAGATAATAAATTAGCATTATCATACTAAGTATCAGGAGTCAAGGAAATTGCAGGTCCATTACAAGTGCTCTTTATCCTTTCATTGGATTTCACACATACGTTTTTCCCACTAAACTTGAACATTGGTATCCAAGAGGTCTTCCTAAATTTTATCTGACTTATCTCTTTTACTCATTTATGAAAGTTGAGTCCCATATTTTTGGGTTGTAAATGCCTACTGTTTGTTTTTTTTTTGTTTTGTTTTGTTTTTCTGTTATAAATGGGATTATAGGCTTACAGATTCTGAACTAACCATACTCATCCTAGGAATTGAATTGTATTTCACTATCTCTAGAGGTAATTCTGTAGGCCTCAAATGTATGCTTCAGATTTAGTCACCTAGTAACCACCTTAGAGAGAATGTGACTTCTCTTGTCGTGGTCTTGCAGAATTTTTCCTTTCCTAAGGTGATACGGTAGGTGCTGTGGGAACATATCAAATACTGCAACTTAAAACAAGAATGCACTAATAATTCAAGAATTTGGTAAAATAGCAGGGCAAAAAATTGAAATATAGAAATCAGTGGTCTTCATGTATACCAAAAGGTTAGGGGCATAATGGTGCTTTTTTAAAAACTTATTTATAATAGCAAAAAAAAAGAAGAATTATTTAAGAATAAAATTAACAGGCATGTGCAAGAACCTGTTAGGGGAAACTTAACACTCCTGGGAGACTTAAAAGTAGACTTGATCAAGTAGAAATACTTGATCTATACAAGGCTATCCTTGTGTAGGGCAACTCCATGTTCTAGATGAGTTAGAACAAGTTGATCCTAAAGCTAATAGAAAGACAAGTCTGTTAGAATAGCTCCAAAAACACCAAAAGGGGAACACTGTGGAGGGACTAGTTCTACCAGACACTGAAATGTCATATAAAGTTTCTGTAATTCAAACAGCATGGTACTGGCACATGAATAAACCAATGAAACTGTGGGCTAGAAAGTCCAGAAATAGACACAAGTACCTATGGAGATTTAGTACAGATAAAGGTGGTGTCTAAAATTATCGGAGTAAAACTGGACTTTATCATACAGGGTGCTGGGGAAAAGGACAACTGGACAGCTGTTTGGAATTAGATTGGTTTCTCATACCATGCAAAAATAAAGCTCAAAATGGATTGGGAATCTAAAGGTTAAAATACTAAAACATACAAGTTCTAGAAGAAAATATGGGTGATTTTTTTTCTTTAACTGTGTCATAAAGAAAGGTTTTCTGACTATGACTCAAAATCCAGAGGCAAAAGAAGAAAAAAAATAGATAAATTTAACTATATTTAAAATTTTAATTTGCATGACAAAAACCAGTATAAAAAAGTCGAAAGACAGCTGACAACTGGGAGACTTTTTACAGCAAAAACCATAGACAAAAGAATAATGTCCTTAATGTATTAAAAACTTAGAAATCGGGAAACAATAGAAAAATGGTGGAATGATATGGACAATTTCAGCCCTTGCCCCAAAAAGGACATCAAATGTCACTGGAACGTGACTTTTTATACTGTGGTTGATAATAACTACAATTTTTTAATTTTTACAAAATCCAGTGTAATTTATTTCCTGTGCTTTTGATGTCACATCTAAGAAATCATTGCCAAATCTAATGTCATGAAGCTTTCATCCTGTGCTTTCCTTTTGAGAATTTTATTGTTTTAGATCTTATATTTACATCCATTCGAAGTTAGTTTTGTTTTGTTTTTGTTTGTGGTATTAGGTAAGGGTCCACTGCATCCTTTTGCTATGAATATCTAGTTTTTCCAACACCATTTGTTGAAAAGATGATCCTTTTCTCCAATGACTAGTCTTGGTACCCTTGTCAAAACTCATTTGACCATATATATGGGAGGGTTTATCTCTGGCCTTTCTGTTCCATTTGTTTTATATATCTGTTTGTACCATTGATTACCGTTGCTTTATGATAAATTTTGAAATCAGGATGTAAAAGTCTTCCATTTCATTCTACTGTTTCAAGATTATTTGGGCTGTCAAGGTCCCTCAAGATTCCATATGAATTTTAGGATGGGTTTTTCTACTTCTGTAAAAACTATCATTGGGATTTTAATAAGGATCACATTGAAGGATCTAAATTTTAATTTGGGAGTAAGGGTTGTTTATAGCCTCCCATTATGCAGTTCATGATTACTGCTAACATTGCATGTTGGAAAAACGTTCACTTATAACATGTGTCTTTAGGATTATGTGTGTTCAAGCTTATCTGATAATGTTTGTCTGGGCAACTCCTGAAATCTCACCTTTTAAATTTTCCTTTGGGGGTAAAGAGTGTGTCAATGAAATACTACCTTCATTGGAGGAAGGTTTTGCTGTCTTTGAAGGGAAGATGACTGGAAGATGCTGTGTAATGATGGGAGAAAATAAGAGAATGCTGAAGTTGTTCATTGTAAGAAGCCATGCCCTGCAGTCTACCTGTTTCTCTTATTTGGAGGAATCAATCTCATTAGCTATCAGGATTTTTGGAAGCAGTGAATCCATCTCCTTCCTGAAATCTGTTTCCACCATGACAAGAGTGCAGTAATGTGCTGTAGCTTTCCTGGATGCTTAGACTCAGCAATAAAATTTTCTCTTTCAGAATTTGGTGTTCACCTGGCAGAGCTGACTGTAGATCCCCAGGGGGCATTGGCCATTCGTCAGGTAAGTCCAGACTGATTGGTCCAATCTACAAGTAATTTCCCTTTCCTTGGTAATGAATCATTCTTATGGGGAAAAAATGAGGCTCATTTTATAATTAACCTAGGATTTTGTACCAGATTTATATGTACTTCAAGTGAATGTATCTAGTTATATACATGGTTTTTATATGTGAAGAATGTATTTTTCTTGCTATACTGTTTGGCTTATTCTTTTCACAGCTGGCATCAGTTATTTTGAAGCAATATGTGGAGACTCACTGGTGTGCTCAATCAGAGAAGTTTAGGCCTCCTGAAACTACAGAAAGGGTAAGGAGAGTTGATTAGTGTAGCTGTAGAGATTTCTGAGCCCATTTTAAGAGATTAGGCGATCAGCATTTTTAGACAACATGAAGCAATTGAAAGACTAGACAGAAAAGGGGGTTGGTTGGTCTCTGGCATTATGGACACCATGTTCTCGGTAAGAGAACTGGAATATGGGGCTGACATGTGTTCAGATTCCAGTTCTGTCTTTGAGGAGCTATGAAATGTTGGAAACATTTTAATTTCTAAGTTTTAGTTTCCTAATCCAAAAATAGAATCAGAATTTCTAACAGTTGTTTAAAGATGAAAGGAAATAATGTTTCTATTTAGCACAGTATTATTCAACCATTCTGTACCCCCAGGAAATTTTGATGTATACAGTTTAGAGCAAGACTATCCATTGGAACTCCCTGGAGTTATGAAAATGTTCTGTATCTGTGCTGTCTAGTACAATAGCTACTAGCCACAAATGGATGTTCAGCACTTATAATGTGTCTAGTGCAACTTAGAAGCTAAATTTTTTATTTCATTTTAATTGAAATGTAAGTGACTGTATGTAGTGCCTACTGTTAGAGACAACATAAATTTAGAGATCACAGATGAACTCTCTGAATGATTTGTATGTAGTTTTTGATAGATATGCAATATGTTGTACACACTGTTTTTCTAGCACATACTCTGGATAGGACTCTGCCAGTCACTTATGTCCTGTTCTAACAGCTGGTGGGCTTTTCTCCTCTACAGGCAAAAATTGTTATCCGGGAGCTATTGCCCAATGGGTTGAGAGAATCAATAAGCAAGGTCCGCTCCAGTGTGGCCTACGCAGTATCGGCCATTGCTCACTGGGACTGGCCTGAAGCCTGGCCCCAGCTCTTCAACCTGCTCATGGAAATGTTGGTGAGCGGAGACTTAAATGCAGTCCATGGAGCCATGCGAGTGCTGACAGGTATCGGCAGCCTTTTTCCTGGGGTTAGTGTTTACACTCCAAGTGTCAGGAACACTTAAGAGAAACTATGTGATGGATTGTCTCAGACCTAGAGGAGTAGCTCTCCCTGATGCTGATTTCCCTTGCAGCTTTTTTTGTTTTGTTTTTAAAGTTTTGTTTATTTATTTGTACAAGAACTGGGGTACAGGCCAGATGCGCGGGAGGGTAAGAAGATTCACCAGAGACAGAGCGGGGAACAGAACAGGTAGAAGGACCGAAATACACTGCTGAGGGGAGCAGCAGGCAAGACAGTAGAGATCTGCTGCGCCATGTGGGATTCTCCCTGGCCGGCCAGGATTGAACCCACGCTGCAGAGGCTGCAGACAGCTTCACAGTGCGGTGTTTAACAGCCTGCACCACCAGGGAGGCTTTCCCTACCAGCTTTTATTTCCATGTCTATCCTCCCTCTCCATTGACTCTTTCCAAAGAAGTAAGTTCGTGTATTGCTTTTACTAATACCAAAATTTTGAAGTTGAAATTTTACCATTTAAGAGTAGAGCAATAGCACAGTGGTTAAATACTCAGGTTTCAATTAATGTTCTGGGCTATCCTTTTTTTTTTTTTTTTTTTTTTTTTTTAAGATTTATTTTATTTATGCATAGAAGAACTGACTTGTAGGCCAGAGATGCGGAAGGTGAGAGAATTCACCAGAGACATTATGGGGAGCAGAACAGGTCAATCTATTGAAATATGCTGCTGAGGGGAGCAGCAGGCAGGACAGGAGAGGTCTGCATCATGTGGGTCAGCTCTCTGGCTGGGAATCGAACTCATGCCACAGTGGCTGGCAATAGCTTCATAGCTCAAAGACTTTAACCCCGGCGCCACTAGGGAGGCCCCGTGTTCTGGCTATAGTTTAACCCATTACTTAGCCTTTTGAACCTAAAGATAATGATAGCATCTGCCTCAATGGAGCTTTTGGTAGTTAAATGAACTAATCTTTGTACAGTGTTTGGTACAACACTTTGCAGAGTGTTTAGGCCAGAGGTGCAGTGCGTAAGAGGATTAATAAAAGACAGTAGGGAACAGAATATAGCCAAGGGGAGCAGTGGGCAAGACAGGAGAGGTCTGCTGCGCCATATGTGGGTCAGCTCTATAACTGGGGATTGAACTCAGGCCCTGGCAGTAATAGCGCTGAGACTTAACCCCTGTGCCACCAGGGAGGCCCCATCTTTTTTTTTTTTTTTTTTTTTTAAAGATTATTTATTTATACATGCACTGGGTACAGTCAGAAGCACGGGAGGGTGAGAGGATTCACCAGAGCCAGAGCGGGGAACAGAACAGGCAGACTGACGAAATACACTGCTGAGGGGAGCATCGGGCGGCAGGAGAGGTCTGCGCGCCATGTGGGACCCTTGCCTGTGGCCGGGGATAGAACCGGCGCTGCAGAGGCTGCGGGCAGCTTCGTAGCCCAGCGCTCAACCACTGCACCACCAAGGGAGGCCCCCACAGAATCTATTTTCATACATCCCTAGATATGGCCTGAATGACCCAGTCTTTTGCGAGTTCTGCTCTCCTTCCTGCCCCACTAGATGAAGTTACTACTCTATTTTGCCTTCAAGGAATTTTTACCTAGACATTAGCTGGCTTACACTGGTCTTTTGGAAATCCTTCCCCCCCTTGATTAATACAAGCTTGTGGAAGTCCCACTCATATCTCATCTTTCTTTTTGATAACTTACCTGAAATGAATTTTTACCTAGTTATAAATGCAGTTTCTACATTTTTTAAATTTAACTTAACACAATTTTACTAGTCTCTGTAATGTTGATGCTAGATAGTATAAACTCTCCAGAAGCAAATTGCTTCTAATTTTTTCTTTCAAAACCCTCTCTTTCCATGCCCAAGTTGCCTTTTTGCAATACCCACTGAATTCTCAGTATCTCAGGGTGTTGAGCAGCCCCAAAACATTCTTTACTCAGGTTTTCATTTCCCTGCTCTCTCCCTCACTTCTCTTTTATGACTCATTCAGGTGACTTCACATACCTCCTTTCAAGGGATTAGCCTACTAAGATTCTTTTTTGCAACTTCATGGTGCCAGAATATCAATTAACAGATAGTGGTTTCTAGCAAGGAAAGGAAGCATATTCCTTATTCCTTTCCATTCTTCCAATGCAACGTTCAGCTCTTTTTTTTTTCCCCAAAAAATCTGGAGAACAGGGGGTGCTTGTACATTTATCATGATTAGGCTGTTGAAGAACCTTCATTGTGCTTGACCAGGGAAATCACTGTTTAGTGAGATCACCTTTTTGTCATCCCACAGGGAAAGAACCATGGGGGAAAGGTGTATCCTTTTGTAATGGAGTCAGTGGATTTGGAGTGACTAACACCTATCTCCAGTCCCAATAGCTGCTCCACAAATTTTCATGCAAAGGTAGACTGCTCTGACGATAGCAACACAGGCATGCTTGAAGCTAGCAGGATGCCGGTGTGTAGACAGCAACCTGGCTAATTCTCATTTGGGTGTTCTAAGATTCTGTAGCATTCTCTCTTTAACACAATTTTCCCTTAACTTCCCTGTTTATAAAGGAAAGCCAACTAAAGCAAATGGTGTGAACAAATGCAAACATAGCAACTAAGGATTGAAAGTTTGATCCTTAAGCAACTGCTTTTTATTCAGACTCAAAGAAGGCTAGAGATCAAAATGTTGCTGGTGTCCCAAGCTTTTTCTGACTTGCTGAGTGGACTTAAAATGCATATTTTGGATGCAGATGAGTAAAATGTTAATAAATTGAGATGCTAGGGCTGATTATAGGAGTTTAAAATGTGGTAAAGCTTTGTTAGTAGAATTAAATCACAGTACATTTTCCATAAAACTTGTTTTTATTAATATGCCATCCATCACATTTGTTTGGATTAATTTCCTTGCATTTCAAAATAAAATAGAACACTCACTTCCTGTTCAAAGCTTAGAGTTTATTCTTTTTTTTTTTTTTTTTTTTTTTTTTTTATTATAGAGGCATGTTTATTTATTTATTTGTTTTGTTTGTTTGTTCTGTTTACACATGCACTGGGTACAGTCAGAAGCGCGGGAGGGCGAGAGAATTCACCAGAGCCAGAGCGGGGAGCAGAGCAGGCAGAAGGACCGAAGTACACTGCTGAGGGGAGCAGCGGGCGGCAGGAGAGGTCTGCGTGCCATGTGGGACCCTCCTCAGGTGGCCGGGGAGCAGCCGGGGATCGAACCGGCGCCGCAGAGGCCGCGGGCAGCCTCGTAACCCAGCGCTCAACCGCTGAGCCACCGGGGAGGCCCCTTAGAGTTTATTCTTCAGGAGGAAACTGGAGCTAGTAAAGAAGACACAGCTTTCAGTATTTGATTATCATTCGACTTCTGGTGATTGATAAATGCCTGAGATTTTCTTAATGTACTGACTTGTATATCCTCCCTAAAAAATGTCCCAGTTAACTAGCTCTGTTGTTTTTATAGGGCTATGAACTGGAAAAAGCAGTAGATTCAGTGAAGAGACAGTAGAACTGGAGCTTATATTCCACTGCTTAGTAACACAATCCAGGGTTTTTCGTGCTATTTCAATGCTTTGTGGGTGTTTTCGGAAGTGAAGGGAAAGCTATAAGCCATATTTCCCTCACCTTCTTAAAGTCTTATCCTATATGTAGGTTTGCTTTTTGTCACATATGAAATCCCTTTCTGCTCCAGTGAGCAGCAGTCCCTGACTTCTAGGTCATAAATATCATTCACTGGCAAGAGTAATACATACAGAATGGAGTTGAAGCCTAGTAAGCCTGTGCATGTTTTATGTACATGAAGCCAGCTTGCCCAGGGAGAATATTTAAAATGGAATTAAGGATAAATGACCTCAAAGTACATGTGAATGTTGACACGTAGACAAAGGTAGAATGTTCACAAGGGCTCTTACCCAGCTCTCTTAAGGACTTTTCCAATAGTTACAGGGTGTTTTTCTTTCTTAATCTTAATGTATTTTCTTTTATCTCCATATTGTTCTCTTTCCTCTTGTAACAAATAATCAGTAACTCTTGCAGCTTTTCCTTCTCTGGGGTAAGTTCACCTGGCCAATTTCTTTACCGGCATGCTGTCTGTTTGGGAACTGCCTCCGAAAAGCAGTTCAAAAATTTTCACACTTAATGACTTTGTAAAGCAGTATTTTTTTTTTACAGTACACTTTCCTTTTTATAGAATTCACTCGAGAAGTAACAGACACACAGATGCCACTTGTTGCTCCTGTCATTCTACCAGAGATGTATAAGATCTTTACCATGGCTGAGGTATGAAATCTCAACTCCCAAGATCACAGTGAATAAGAATTGCTCAGATCCTGGTCCTGCCTGAGAGGTGGGAGACTTGGTTTGCTGCTGACCCTCACAACTGAAAAATAGAATTGATCAAGATCTGAATCTGAATTAACCTTAGACCTTTCACTTACAACTACAAAACCTTTGATTAAAAAAGTGAAATCACACTGTAGTTCTTCACATATCAAATCTCCCAGCATCCTTTAATTCCTAAGTACCTAGTACCTACTGGCTTTATGCTGCCTCTGTACCTCTCATTGAGGTGTCCCACCTAAACTTGCTCATTTCCAGCTAAGTTTTTGAAAAAAAAAAAAATCATCTATCACTACATTGCACATAGTAGACCTTTAATATACAGTGTGTTTTGTATGTGTGTGAGTGTGTATATTTGATTGATGTGTATGTATAACTTGTTTACTGTAAGATAGAATGCCTGATGGGTAATGTTTTAACCTCCACGCTTTTCTCTGCCCAGGCTAAGTGTCTGTTTTGAATGAAATAAATTGTGATTAAATATATTTAATCAAATCAACCTACAGAGTAAAACCAGTTCCAGTAAGTTCTAAGATCACCCTATTACCTTTCATTCTCTGAACTACAGAAGTCTGTCTTCTGGACATACATGAGTAGAAAACATTTCCTATGTAGAGAATACAAACCCATCAGGATTGAATAGTCATAGTTTTCTTCCAGTCACAGATACACTAATCTCATGGCCGTGCTGTAATTTTGTAACTCTGCCCTCAGGTATATGGTATTCGGACCCGTTCCCGTGCTGTGGAGATTTTTACCACGTGTGCCCATATGATCTGTAACATGGAGGAACTGGAAAAGGTAAATGGCCCTTTGGACCACTAATAGACTTTATGATAGAAAGCCTTTATGAATGCCTTCCATTGCCGGTAAAGCAGTGACTCATTACAGCAGTACCACAGTGCAAACTAACCACTATTGTGAGTTGATATTAACATTTTGATTAAATTTTCACTTGTGTATAGTTTAGTTTCCTTTTGTTTGACCATTATTTATTCTAGCATCTTGTCCTCCTTATCCCTTTTATACGAGTCATCACCCAGAACTTTACTCTTTCATGGTCCTCTCATGTGGAGCAAAATTAGCTAAAAGTCCCTCATCCCTGTGATTGAGCAGCAGTGTGAAAAGTTGGTCTTATATAGTAACTTCTAAGAAAGCCATGGTGAGGAACTGAAAGTGTCATGTAAGGAACTGTGAAGCCTTGGAAATACCTCAGCGACTTTATAGCTATACTGTTCAGACTTAAACTGGGAGAGATTTTTTTTTTTTTTTGCTTTATTTATTTATTTTTTAAAGAGTGTCTCTTTTTTTTTGATATTTATTTTGTAGAATAACTGAGGTGCAGACCAGAGATGCAGGGGGTGAGAGGATTCACCTGAGCGGGGAGCAAAACAGGCAGATCTACCGAACAGCACTGCTGAGGGGAGCAGTAGGCCAGACAGGAGAGGTCTGCTATGCCAAATGTGTGTCAGCTCCCTGGTCAGGGATCGAACTCAAGCCACAGTGGTGATAGCGCTGAGTCGTAACCACTAAGCTACCAGGGAGGCCCAGCTGGGAGAAATTTTTGGATGCCTCAAATCTCAGTGTTTGGATATGTGCATTGAATTCAGTTTGATTTCCGTTATCAGGGTGCAGCCAAAGTCCTGATCTTTCCTGTGGTGCAGCAGTTCACAGAGGCCTTTGTTCAGGCCCTCCAGATACCAGATGGGCCCACATCTGACAGTGGGTTTAAGATGGAAGTACTGAAGGTGAATATTTACTACCATTGCAGTACTTGGAGTTTGAGAGGGTGGTCTTGAAATCACTGATTTTTCTCATATCATTTGTAACTCTTGAGATTTGTTCTCTTTAACTTCTCAGGCAGTGACAGCCCTGGTGAAAAACTTCCCAAAGCACATGGTGTCCTCCATGCAGCAGATTCTGCCTATTGTTTGGAACACCCTGACCGAGAGTGCAGCTTTATATCCTTTCGGAAAGCTAAGGGACCTGCTGCCACCATAGTTAGGAATCTTGCATTGGGTCTTATGTTCATGTGGCTCCACTTTTTTTTTTTTTTTTAATTGAGGTAACATTGGTTTACAATGGTTCCACTTTTTTAAATGAATTTTTTAAAGTATCTACTCTTGGTGTTGGAATGTATAAATAACATTCCCTTGTAGAGTATATGTAAAGCAGACTCCAAAGTCTATTTCTTTACTCTTCGTCATACTTATGTGAGGACAGAAGTAAATTACACAGAGGAAGTAGAAGATCCTGTGGATTCTGATGGTATGTAGTTTATATGATCTTAACAACAATACCACTAGTTAGAAAAAGGATCTAAGGAAAGGAAAGAAATTAGAGAAAAAGCAATTATTTAGAGCTTTCACTCTCTTAAGTGAGTTTCTAATCGAGTTTCCTTTCTGTATATTAGACTTAGGAAAATGCAAACTTACAAATCTTTAATCTGTTCCTCATAGGCATTTGTATAAATCTCAAAAAAATAGAATTTCTGCATTGGAAGACCATCTAATCTAGCCTACTTCTGGCATTTTGTCTTAATTTTGGGGTCTCAGATGATGGTACTTTCATTTTTGTTTTAATGTTTTTTTAAAGATTTATTTATTTATTTATACAAGCACTGGGTACAGTCAGAGACACGGGAGGGTGAGAGAATTCACCAGAGCCAGAGCGGAGAGTAAACAGGCAGAGTGATGAAGTACACTGCTGAGGGGAGCAGTGGGCCGCTGGAGAGGTCTACGCGCCATGTGGGACCCTCACCCGGCAGCCGGGGATCGAACCAGTGCTGCAGAGGTGCGGGGGGTGAGAGGATTCACCAGAGACAGAGTGGGCAACAGAACAGACAGATTGACCAAAGTACACTGCTGAGGGGCACAGCGGGCAAGTCAGGAGAGGTCTGCTGCGCCATGTGGGTTGCTCCCTGGCTGGCCGGGGATGGAACTCGTGCTGCAGAGGCTGCGGATTGCTTCATAGTGTGGTGCTTAACCCCTTGCACCACCGGGGAGCCCCTGTTTTAATATTTTTAAGTCTTTCATATCAAAAGTAGTCATGCTGGAAAATACATTCGGTGTTTCTGATTCTTTTATTTGAAAAAACAGTATTTATGATCTTCAAAATTTATTTCTTTGACTACTCAGCCCCCTCTTCCATTCCCTGAGGATTAGCAAGTACTTTACTCATTAATCTATAAAGATAATGTGGTTCATTTCCAACATACAGGCTTTCCTTTTGTTTTCTTGTCATTAAAGTCTTCTCTTGTGTATTTCCTGTAGGTGAAGTCCTGGGCTTTGAAAATCTCGTCTTTAGCATTTTTGAATTTGTCCATGCTTTACTAGAAAATAGCAAATTCAAAAGCACAGTTAAGAAAGCCTTGCCTGAGTTGATTTACTATATTATCCTGTACATGCAAATCACTGAGGAACAGGTAAATGATGTTTGGGGGACAGTTACAAGAATATATTTGGAAAGAACAACTTGAATGTGAGAATCTAGGTCAAATGAACAATTTATTTCTAATAATAGACACTGGAAGTATAGCATTGCTTCAAGTTGTAAGAAGGCTTTGATTTTTTTTTTTTTTTTTTCCAAATCCCTGCTTGTTGGGGGCTTTATCAATTCCTCTATTAGGTGATTGGACTTCCAGAATATTTTTACCATTAGGAAAATATCCAGACAATCTCTAGCCAAAGAACCTTGATATCTAGAAGAACCTATTCTTACCACCATAAATTGTGAATGTAGAAATGAGATCATTAGCCTGGTTGGTGGGTCATTAGACCAGAAAAAGCATTAAAAAAACAGATCTCTTACATAAACAGCATAAGAATTGATAATGTTTACATTAAAATCCTACCAATCTGATACTCAGAAAACTGATCTGTCAAAGAGAAATAACTCATTGATATTAGCAACAAGCAGGTCATCTGCCAGATTCTAAAATAGCGTCTGCTGGAGAACAGTAATCATTGCGGCTTACCTTGATAAAAGATAGGCTTCTCTACATCAAAAAGACTTTCAAGGCTAGAGTTCTGTTTAAGATAAACATTTTTTTTTTTTTACAAAAGGTTAATGTCTTTCTATGTCTGTTGATGTAAAGAAAGAACATATATGCCAGGTTGGCCAGCCTCACAAAGACCCAACTTCATGATCCTTACAGATTAAAGTTTGGACAGCCAACCCCCAACAATTTGTAGAAGATGAAGATGATGATACTTTCTCCTATACTGTTAGAATTGCAGCCCAAGACCTATTGCTGGTAAGAGGATTACCTTGATATTGAACCCCATAATCCTGATCAGTCGCTTGAGCTTTTCTTCTTCTAGACATCTAAATCAAACTGAGCAGTACTATTGGGTGACTTTATCTCAGATATTTTGGGGGGTAATAAGGGAATATCTCAAATGAAGTTTAAGGCCTCAGGATTTCCCTAAGTCATTACTACTGGTTCTGATACAAGTAAATAATATTAGATGTAAAAATTGTGCAGAGGATTTAGTGTTCTTATGACTAAGAGTAGTTGAATCAGGAACATTTCAGTTTATTCTTCGACAAGAATCTAGAGCACAGATCAGGGGTTGGCAAACTTTAAAAAAAAAAGCTCAAATTACTGAGAGATGAACATCCAAACATCTGCTCCTATTTTCTTTGGCCCTGACTAGACCATAAAATCATCTCTAGGCTGAAGTTCTATGAAGAGGCTGCCACTTGCTGCCTGTTGGGTCGGAGGTTTGTTCTCATTGTTGGTAAATCACTTCTCGTTACTCTTTAGTATTTCTAAGGCACCTATGAAAGATCACACTAAGTGTGAGCTAGTAGATTATCCTTATTTTTCCACACTCAGGTTTCCAAAGAATAAATATCTGATTTATTGTCATCCAAAACTCAAATCTATCTTTACTTACTTATATTCCACTGAAAATAACCAAAAGGAGCATTCCATTACCTAGATGCTGCAGAAGTAAAATTATTACCAGAATTTCATTGGAGACTGAACTATTAGTGGTCATATTAATACCCTTAATTGGAGTTTAGCATGTGTAGGTGAAAGAGTTTGAACTATTCAGTTGGCAGTTAAATTTGAAATTAAAATGGGTTTAATTGGCACAAATAGATTTATTAGCAGCTCTTTTCTCTCCCTAGGCTGTTGCCACTGATTTCCAGAATGAGAGTGCCGCAGCCCTGGCTGCTGCAGCCACTCGACATTTACAAGAAGCTGAACAAACCAAAAATAGTGGCACTGAGCACTGGTAAGAGTGAGCCGCAGACCTTTACCTTTGGGGTGTGTTCTGGGCACTGCATCTGAGGCACATACATACTCACTTGGAATCACCTGCTTTATTTTTTTTATCTTAATTTATGCATACAAGAATGGGGGTACAGGCCAGAGGTGTGGGGGTGAGAGGATTCACCAGAGACAGAGTGGGGGACAGAGCAGGCAAATCGACTGAAATACATTGCTGAGGGGAGCAGCTGGCAAGACAGGAGAGGTCTGCTGAGCCATGTGGGTCAGCTCCATGGGTCATGTGGGTCAGTTCTGTGCTGCAGTGGCTATGGATAGCTTCATAGTGCTGTGACTTAACCCCTTGCACCACCAGGGAGGCCCTGGAATCACCTGTTTTAAAGCAATTCTTCTAATTTGAAAGTAATTGGTTAACATGCTTTTGTTTTCCCCCTTTTAAAAAAGCCTTGAAAAAAAGCATAAACTTACTTTGCAGTGGTTTTGGTTTTATGTTTTGTTTGTTTTTTAAAGTATAATTGACACATAGCATAGTTAGTTTTAGATGTGCAAAATATTTGTGCAAAGTGATCACCATATTGTACATTACATACACATGACTTAATTATAACTGGAGCGGTGCCTTTTTGTCACCTTCACCCAGTTTACTCAGACCCCAGTCCCACCTCGGCAACCACCAGAGAATAGAACTAGTCTGTTCTCTTCATCTTTGAGCTTAGTCTTTTTTTCTTTACTTTTTTTAATTGCACAGGTAAGTGAGATCATGTGCTATTTGTCTATCTCTGTGTGACTTACTTCACTTAGCATAGCACCTTCAGGGTCCATATCGTGGCTATTGTAATTAATGCTGCAATGAATATGGGGGTGAACATATGTTTTTGAATTAGTGTTTTTGTTTTTCAGGTTAATATCCAGAAGTAGAATCGCCGGGTCATTTGATAGTTCTATTTTTCATTTTTGAGAACCCTCTGTACTATTTTCCTTTGTTTTTTTTTTTTTTGTTGTTGTTTTTTTTTTTTTTTTTTTTTTTTTTTTTTTTTTTTTTTTTTTTTTTTAATATTAAATTTTATTTTTATATTCCCCCATACAATTGCAAACGCCCCATTCTGACCCCAATCCTTCCCCACCCACCCCCCACCCCCCAACAAGTGTCTCTGGTTCATAGTTTTTTGTTGATTTTGATTTTCACTTTCTTATATTCCTTTTCCTGGTCCCTTATTTAAGTTTTCTAGATTCCTGCTATGAGTGAGACCATCCGGTATTTTTCTTTTTCTTTTTGGCTTATTTCGCTGAGCATGATCCCTTCCAGTGCCATCCATGTTGCTGCAAATTGCATGTGTTTATCTTTTTTGAATGCTGAGTAATATTCCATGGTATATATGTACCACATCTTCTTGATCCAGTCATCTATTTTTGGGCATTTGGGTTGTTTCCAAAGCTTAGCTATTGTAAACAGTGCTGCTATAAACATAGGAGTGCAGGTGCTCTTTGGAATTGATGTTTCTGTGTCCTTTGGGTAAATACCTAGGAGTGGAATTGCTGGATCATATGGAAGCTCTATGTTTAGTAGGTCCAGAAATCTCCACACAGCTCTCCATAGTGGTTGGACCAGTTTGCACTCCCACCAACAGTGCACAAGAGTTCCTTTTTCTCCACATCCTCGCCAACATTTGTTGTTGCTAGTTTTTTTAATATGTGCCATTCTCACTGGTGTGAGATGGTATCTCATGGTAGTTTTGATTTGCATTTCCCTGATTACAAGTGATGTTGAACATTTTTTCATATGTCTGTTGGCCATTTGCATTTCCTCTTCAGAGAAGTTTCTTTTTAGCTCTTCTGCCCATTTTTTGACTGGATTATTTTCTTTGTTGTTGCTGAGTCTCATCAGCTCTTTGCAGATTTTTGTGATCAGTCCTTTATCATTAGTGTTGGGTGCAAAAATGTTCTCCCAGTTGGTGGGGTTTCTCTTTGTTTTTGTTATTGTCTCTTTTGCTGTGCAGAAGCTCTTTAATTTGATGTAGTCCCAGCTGTTTATCTTTCTCTTCACTATCACTGCTTTGGGTGATGTGTCTGTAAAGATGTCTTTGATGTGCAAATCCCGTAGTGTTTCGCCTATATTTCCTTCTATGTATTTTATGGTTTCAGGTCTTATGTCTAGTTCTTTAATCCATTTTGAGTTGATTTTTGTGTATGGTGTGAGGTAGTGGTCAAGCTTCATTCTTTTGCATGTAGCGACCCAGTTTTCCCAGCACCATTTATTGAACAAACTTTCTTTGCTCCAATGCATAGTCTTTGCTCCTTTGTCAAAGATTAGTTGACCATAAATCTGTGGGTTTATTTCTGGATTTTCTATTCGATTCCATTGGTCTGTATGTCTGTTCTTGTTCCAATACCATGCAGTTTGATGATTATGGCTTTGTAGTATAGTTTGAAGTCTGGGAGTGTGATGCCTCCATTTCCTTCTTTTTTTTTCAGTAGAGCTTTGGCTATTCGGGGTTTTTGGTGATTCCATATGAATTTCATCAATAATTGTTCTATTTCTTTGAAGAATGCCATTGAGATTTTGATTGGAATAGCATTGAATCTGTATATTGCTTTTGGTAGGATGGCCATTTTAATAATGTTTATTCTTCCAATCCATGAGCAGGGGATGTCTTTCCATTTCTTTGTGTCTTCTTCTATTTCTTTTAACAGTGTTTTATAGTTTTCTTTGTATAGGTCCTTTACCTCTTTTGTTAGATTTATTCCCAAATATTTGATTTTTTTTGTTTCGATAATAAAAGGGGTGGTTTTTTTGATTTCTTCTTCTTCAGATTTATTGTTTGTGTATAGGAAGGCTACTGACTTTTGCGTGTTGATTTTGTATCCTGCCACTTTACTGAACTGACCGATGAGTTGAATTAGTTTTTCTGTGGAGATTTTGGGGTTCTCTATGTATATTATCATATCATCTGCAAATAGTGATAGTTTGACTTCTTCTTTTCCTATTTGGATTCCTTGGATGTCTTTCTCTTGTCTTATTGCTCTGGCTAGGACTTCCAGTATTATATTGAAAAGCAGTGGTGAGAGTGGACATCCTTGTCTTGTTCCAGATCTTAATGGAATTGCTTTCAGCTTTTCACCATTGAGAATGATACTGGCTGTTGGCTTGTCATAGATGGCCTTTATGATGTTGAGGTATGTTCCTTGTATCCCAAGAATTTCAAGGGCTTTTATCATGAATGGGTGTTGCACTTTGTCGAAAGCTTTCTCAGCATCTATTGATATTATCATATGGTTTTTATATTTCTTTTTGTTGATGTGTTGGATAACGTTGATTGATTTTCGGATGTTAAACCATCCTTGTGCCCCTGGAATGAATCCAACTTGGTCGTGGTGAATTATCTTATGGATACATTGTTGGATTCTGATAGCTAAAATTTTATTGAGGATTTTTGCATCAGTGTTCATTAGGGAGATTGGCCTATAGTTTTCCTTTTTTGTGTTGTCCTTATTCGGTTTTGGTATTAGTGTAATATTGGCTTCATAGAACGTGTTTGGTATTGTCCCTTCCTTCTCAATTTTTTGGAAGAGTTTGTGAAGGATAGGCACTAATTCGTCTCTGAATGTTTGGTAGAATTCATTTGTAAATCCATCAGGTCCTGGGCTTTTGTTTTTGGGGAGGTTTTTAATTACCATTTCAATTTCGCTGCTTGTAATTGGTCTGTTTAGGTGTTCTATTTCTTCTTTATCTAGCTTTGGGTGATTGTAGAGTTGTAGGAATTTGTCCATCTCCTCTAGATTGTTGAACTTGTTTCCATATAACTGTTCATAGTAGTTACTGATTATTCTTTTGATTTCTGCTGTGTCCGTTGTGATTTCTCCTCTTTCATTTATGATTCTGTGTATTTGTGCTTTCTCCCTTTTTTCCTTTGTGAGCCTGGCTAGGGGTTTGTCTATTTTATTTATTTTTTCAAAGAACCAGCTCTTGGTTTCATTGATCTTTTGGATTGTTTTTTTAGTTTCAATTTCATTTATTTCTGCTTTGGTTTTTATTATTTCTTTTCTTCTACTGGTTCTGGGGTTTTTTTGTTGTTCTTTTTCTAGATCTTTGAGCTTCGAGATTAGGTTGTTTCTTTGAGTTCTTTCTTGTTTTTTGATGTGAGCTTCTATTGCTATATATTTTCCTCTTATTACTGCTTTTGCTGCATCCCATACATTTAGGATATTGGTGTCCTCCTTGTCATTCAATTCAAAGAATTTTTTAATTTCTTCTTTGATCTCCTCGTTAGTCCAGTGGTCTTCCAGTAGTGTGGCTTTTAATCTCCATGAGGTAGGATAGTTCCTTGCCTTCTTTTTATGATTTATTTCTAGTTTGATGCCTTCGTGGTCAGAAAAGATGGTTGGTATGATTTCAATCTTGGTGTATCTGTTGATGTTTGTCTTGTGCCCCAGTATGTGATCGATCCTGGAGAATGATCCATGTGCGCTTGAGAAAAATGTGTACTCCGTTTTTTTTGGGTTTAGTGTTCTATAGATGTCTGTTAAGCCCAAATGCTCTAGGTCCTTATTTAGAGCTTTAGTTTCTTTACTTATTTTTTGTCTTGTTGATCTATCCATTGTTGATAGTGGTGTGTTGAAGTCTCCCACTACATATGTGTTTTCTCTGATGTCTGTTTTCAGAGAGGACAACAGTTGTCTGATATATTTTGGTGCTCTTTCGTTTGGTGAGTATATGTTAATGAGTGTTATTTCTTCTTGAAGTATTGTCCCCTTAATCATAATGTAGTGACCATTGGGGTCTCTTTTTATTTTTTTGAGTTTGAAGTCTGTTTTATCTGATATAAGTATAGCTGTTCCTGCTTTCTTTTTTGGCCCATTTGCTTGTAGGATTGTTTTCCATCCTTTGACTTTGAGCCTATTTTTATCTTTTGTAGCTAAATGTGTTTCCTGGAGACAGCAAAAGGTTGGGTTTTGTTTCTTAATCCAGGCTGCAACTCTGTGTCTTTTTATTGAAGAGTTTAGTCCATTTACATTTAGAGTTAATATTGATATGTTAGCATCTGTATTTGCCATTATGTTTGTCTTTCCTTTGATTTTATTTATTTATTCTTTTAATAACTTTTTTTTTTTTGGTCTTCTTTCGTTGTTATTCGTCCCTCTGAGGTTCTGGCTTTAGGATTCCTTGTAATATTTTTTGGAGTGGGGGTTTAGTCGCAATGAAATTCCGGAGTTTCTCTTTGTCTGGGAAGGTCCATATTCTTTCTTCATGGAGGAAAGAGAGCTTTGCGGGATAGAGTATTCTTGGTTGGCATCTGTTTTCTTGGAGTCTGTTGACTATGTCCCTCCACTCTCTCCTTGCCCGTAGTGTTTCTTCAGAGAAGTCTGATGTCAGCCTGATTGGTTTTCCTTTGAATGTTATCTGTTTCTTCCCTCTTGTCAGCTTCATTATTTTTTCCTTGTCCTGGATTCTTGGGAGCTTTACTATTATGTGTCTTGCTGTGTTTTTCCTTTCGTCGTGGAAGTTTGGTGTTCTTCTTGCTTCTTGTATATCAATTTTCAGCTCCTTCTTCTCATTTGGGAAGTTCTCTTCAATTATATCCATGAATATTTTCTCTGTTCCTACATCTCTCTCCTCTCCTTCTGGAATTCCTATAACTCTTATATTTCCTTTCCTCATGGAGTCAGATAGTTCCCGAAGTCTTTCTTCATTCTTTTTCCTTCGTACTTCTCTTTCCTTTTCTGTTTTGGTTCTTTTTATTTCTGTGTCTTCAAGATTACTTATTCGTTCTTCCATTTCATCTATTCTGCTTTCATTGCTTTTCCCAGAGTTCTTTAGTTCCTCCATTAATTCTTTGATCTCCTGCATTTCTCTTACTTCCCTCTTTAGGGACTCAATTTCCTTCTTCTGATCTATCACTTTTTTAATCATGGCAATTTTAAATTCTCTTTCTGGAAGGCTCAGAAGTTCTTCCAAGTTGCTGTCGTTGCAATCTGGGGAGTGGTTTTCTTTTTGTGGTGTGCTTCTTTCCTGAGGAGTTTTTAGGTTGCGTGTGGTTCTTCTACTCCCTACTGTCTGTTTTCTAATTTGTCGTATGCGTTGGGACACTGTGTTGCTCGGACTGACTGACATCTTGGGTGAACTTCTCCGCTCCCCTCTGGCTCTTCCAGGAGCCATCTCTGTCTTCTGGGGGAGCTTTCTGCTGGTTTTAGGCAGTTTTTACTGAAGAAATGTCCCTGTTCTCAAATGGCGAAGTGGGATGCAGTCCCTGCGCCTCCGGTTTCAGGCACACTCTTCTGCGCCCCCGGTCTGCCCCGGACGTGGGTGCCTGCTCCCTCTGTGGGCTCAGACTGCTGGTCGGAAGGGGCCTGGCGTGGAATAACTTCCCGGCTGGCCACTGCAGAAGCCTTCTGCCCTTTTCAAGCAGTCTTAAGAAATTTCCTGTTCTATGGGGTGTTAGTGACTTTTTTTTTCCTGGTCACTAGGTGGCGCCAGAGATCTCTCCTATTGTCCTTGGGGGGCTGTTTTTCGTCCCCCCCACCCCGTGGGACAGGGAACAGAGCGGGAATGGTAGGGTACACCTCAACAGCTTTGGGGTGCTGTGTCTGCCTTGTGCCCCACCGTCGTGGAGAACCCACGCCCCGAATTTTCGTGCCCCGGGTCTCAGTTCAAAGCCCTCAGTTCCAGGACGCGGGCTGTAGCCCAGTTCAGTGGCGCGGGAATGGCGCCTTTTGCACCGCTCCCGTGCCCGGGTGCCTGGTTCCTGCTCACTCAGGGAGGGACCTTCACCTCAGTGAGGACCTCCGCGCGTCTCCCCGCAAGCCTAGGTCGTCTCCCTGCAAGCCTAGGTCGCAGGCGCGGGGACCTGGGCAGCCGCGATCCAGGTCTGCACTTGCTTTTCAAGCTCCCCGAGCGCGCCGCGTTTCCACGCCAGCTTACCGGCAGCCCGGGCTGTGTGCGCGTCTCCCGGGGTCTTTGTTCTTCTCTAATGGCGCCCGGAGCCGTTCGCTCACCGCCGCGGCGGATCCTGCAGGGTTCGCCTCAGCTCCCGTTCACGGGGTGTGGTGGCTGCAATAGTTCTATTTTCCTTTGTTTTTAATTAGAAAACAATTATTCAACTTCATTGGTTTTAGCTATAGGTTTAGATTGAAAGGGAAGATAAAATAGCCTTTTTGGGTCAGATTGTACAAGATTGCCCTTTGTTCACTCTTCCCTCAGATATTTCTCTTTTTGCTGTATAGTTTATTTTACCAGATTTCGGGGTCCCTTCTGCAGGTGGAAGATCCATGAGGCATGCATGCTTGCCCTCGGCTCAGTGAAGTCCATAATCACCGACAGTGTGAAAAATGGCAGGGTCCATTTTGACATGCATGGGTTCCTGACCAATGTCATCCTGGCAGACCTCAACCTCTCAGGTATGTTTCAACACAGTGCCAGGATTCTGGAAGATCTTTAGACCTGTCATCAATCTGGTTATATTGTTTGCTTAGATAGTGTAATGTAGGTTCCCGGACTCAATTTCAAATAGAGCTGTGGGAGTCCACTTCACAGCATTAAGCAATTTTTGGACACCACGGGGTTAAGGTCTCTGTCTTCCAGGACCACCCTCCACATTATATGCTTGTCACAAAGCAGTTACAAATTTGTGGTTTCCATGACTCCCTCCTCCAACTTCAGGCATCTGTCCCAAGCCCAGATATTCTCTGTGCTTCTGACCAACTGGCTGTAAATCAGAGGTACACTTCTTAGGTACAATAAATTTGCTAAAATGGCACACAGAATTTAGGAAACCCAGTGATTCACTAGATCATCAGTTTGTTACAAAGGATGCTAAAGAGTAAGAATCATCTGCCAGTTGGAAGAGATATGCAGGGCAAGACACGTGGAGCTTCCATGCCCTCTCCACATGCACCTTTCTCCCACATATCTTTACATGTTTGCAACTAGGAAGCTCTTTGATGCGCTGTGCCCCCTTCACAATCTTTTGGGCTTTTATGGAGGCTGCATTCCATAGGCCTAAATGATTAACTTATTGTCTGTTGGCAGTTGAACTCAATCTCTAGCCCCTCTTCCCTCATAGGAGGGAAGTTCCCACCTCTGTTCATGTTGGTTTTCCTGACTGCCAGCCTCTATCCTCTGGTGTTTTCTAAATTATCTTCATTAACATCAGAGGTGCCTTTAATACTTGCAACACTTAGGAAGCTCCAAGACTTGGCAGGGGTGGGGACTAAGAGACAAGAAACTATAGACCAAATATGTAGGAAAATACATGTTGCTCATCTGAATGAGCAAATACATATATCCTGTAAATCACAACATCACCGATAAGTAAGCTTAGTGTTCATGTGTCCTTTGGTGAAAATTCTTGTCATCCTGGAACTTGGCTCATCTGAACCTCTGAAATAGCCTAGAGTTGTTGACTCAGTTTTCACCAATTAAAAGACTAATATTGTACCTTCCTGGTAGCACACGGGGTTAAGTCACTGCACTATGAAGCTGTCCGCAGCCACTGCAGCACCAGTTTGATCCCTGACCAGGGAGGTGACCCACATGGCACTGCAGACCTCTCCTGTCTCACCCGCTGCTCCCTGCAGCAGTGTATTTCAGTCGATCTGCCTGCTCTGTTCCCCACTCGGTCTCTGGTGAATCCTCTCCTCCCCACTCCCCCGCCCCCGTACCTCTTATATGCATAAATAAGTCGATCTTAGAAAAAAAAAAAGACTAACGTTACCTAGTTCATAATTCTTCCCTGCCATTCATGTTTCCTCCCGAGTCAGGGATCTCATTCTTCACTGTTTTTGGCATTTGAATGAAATGCAAATTCGGTCACTCTACCTTGAGACTGTTACCTTCATTCTGCTCCCAGTAAACCAGAATACCCTCTGGCAATCTTTTTCAGTCTCATTCTTCCTATTTCCTGTCATTTTTCTCAGACTCATTCTTAGCCAGTCTCTACATAATTAAAATGTTCCACGCTTATGTTCATGTTAATTGCTCACCTTATTTTTTAAAAAAAAAAGGCTTTATCATATTTTTTTACTGATTTCTCCAGCAATGCAGAGCAGTAGCTAAGAATCATTATTGTCTCTGACATTTTCTGCCACATTGCTTCTGCCCAGACTCTACCTTATTCACACCTCAGGACAAAATGGTCTTTGATTCCTATTTTGTCCTTGCTTCCTGAAGTACTTAAGTCATGGATATTTGCCATTGTTTGCTCCATTCTGAAGATATTGACTTGTCTCTCCCTCATAAGATTGTCCAGGAAGCAGTTTAGGCCATTTGAAAACATTCTAGTCTGTGATTAAATAGGTAACCTGTTATAGAATATTTCACTCCTTCACTTCCGTTCTCTGAATCATAGAATTAAGAGGGTTGAGCATCCAGAGTTCAGATCACTTAGGAATATCCTTTTCCCTCTGCACTTCTACATTGTACTGTAATTGATTAGTATGTTTTCTTTCTCCTACTAGAATGGTAAGGCCTTGGAGAGTAGATATCAAGTCTATATATCTTTGTATCCCACACTGCCTTGCATGTAATTGGCATTCCAAAATTACACATTGAAGGAAAGTGTTCAGAATTCTCAAAACCATTAACATATTTCTTAAGGAATTTGCCCTAGCAAAGAATCTTCAAAAATTCATGGAGATTTGAGAATATTTAATATTTAGTCTGGAAAAGGGTTTAATACATAGTAGCTCTTATTATCCTGCTTATAGCTAAAAGCTATTCTATTCCATCTGTTTTCATACTTTTTGGTCTTACCCTTGAACATTGTCAGGGATCCTAAAGATACTTTTCTGTGAGTTTTATGTACCAGTATTTAATACATTAGAAATTAAGAATTTGTAGGGCCTCCCCTGGTGGCGCAGCGGTTGAGTGCTGGGCTGCGAGGCTGCCCTCTGCTGTGCCAGTTCATTCCCGGCCGCCGGTGAGGGTCCCACAAAAAAAAAAAAAGAAAGAAAGAAAGAAAGAGCAATTAAGAATTTGTGTCTTTGCGAATTGTATTTATTTATTTATTTATTTATTTATACAAGCACTGAGTACAGTGAGAAGCATGGGAGGGTGAGAGAATTCATCAGAGCCAGAGCAGGGAGCAGATCAGGCAGACTGACAAAGTACACTGCTGAAGGGAGCAGCAGGGGGCAGGAAAGGTCTGCGCGCCATGTGGGAGCCATGTGGGACCCTCGCCTGGCAGCCGAGGATCAAACCGGCGCTGCAGAGGCTACGGGCAGCTTCGCAGCCCAGTGTTCAACTGCTGCGCCAACAGGGAGGCCCGTGAATTTTATTTTTAAAATACAATGAATGCAAGCATATATTACACTAGCAGTCAGAACCATGGTGTTGCCCATGCTGTAACCTCTAGAAAACTCCCTATGCACTCAAGAAAGGATGAGTGTGAAAAAGACAGCTAATATCTGTATTGGTATGACAATGAAAGTAGTTTTCACCTTTGGGACTCCCCAGAGTCCTTGGACCATACTAACCAAAACAAACCCTAGAAAATAACTACAAAATTGAGGTTACTGGATGGAGATGGGGGCGCCCAATGATCTAGGCTAAAGAACTCTGATAGTGAGGGTAGTATGGTGACAAATATCTGAGGAGGTGTGAGCCTATCCCCCTAAATCATGTACAGAGTTGTAAACCAGTGTTACCTTAGTTAAAGAAAACAAAGCTGCTGTTCTGCATTATATAAACTAGTATGTCATTACTTGACTGTCATAGTTATGTTCTGTTCGGCAGTTCCCATCAACTAAACACTTATTGTGCAGTAACTTAAGTTAAGCTTTATCACAGGCTGAATAAGTATGGTCTCTGCCCTCAAGCAGCTTATAGTAGGCAAGGGGTAATAGTTCTTATACCAGTGAATGGAATATTAAGCAAAATTAATCACATGGAAGAAAACTAAAAGGATGATAGTGACACAGAAGTGGTTAGGATTACTTCAACCCAAAGATCACTTAGGTAGTGCAAGGAGCGGGGGTAGTGTGTTAACTTACAATATAAATAAAGCAAGGGATGGTAATATAAGATGTGAGTTCTGGGCAAGAGTTGTTGTATGCTTGAGTTTGGAAGGCATAAGGGAAAGTCATAGGTAATGCTAAAGTCACTGATTTAGGGGCCTTTAGGGGCTAATTCATGTGGCCTCTAAGTGGTGGGCTGTGAAGTTCATTCACTGACAAATTTTAAATAAAGAAATGACCAAACTGTAATTATAATGTTCCAATAATGGTTCATGAGAAGGGAGAAACTAACAATGAAGACATTTAGCAGACTAAAGAATAATAAAGTAAGGAATAATGAAAAGTAGGGATGGGAATGGGATTGTTAAGTCTTTTAAGTCTAAGAATATTCAAATCTATTTTGCAAATAACAGTTAATCTGGGAAAATGGTTCTGTACCATAGGTCACATATTTACTTTTATCTTGCAAAATTATGTTTTCCTCTCAGTTAAATTTTATGCACACACATGCGCGTGTGCACGTACATGCACACATTTATATAATATTAAGTTATTGTGACAGTGAGGAATGAAGGTGGGAAGGAAGAAGGGCAGGTAACAGGAACTTTTATTGTCCAGCCTCTAATTGCTTTTTCTTTCTCCCAGTGTCTCCTTTCCTCTTGGGCCGGGCACTTTGGGCTGCCAGTCGATTCACTGTTGCTATGTCCCCTGAACTGATCCAACAGTTCCTACAAGCAACAGTTAGTGGTCTTCATGAGACACAACCCCCTTCAGTTCGAATTTCTGCCGTGAGAGCCATATGGGGGTAAGTATGCAACCTTAGGAATATAAGAACCATTTTTAAAAAAATTGCTCAGAGTAGATGCCCCCAAACAGTAGTGTCCAAAGGATTATGTTGCTTGGAAACTTCTGATGATGATCTGCAGAATGAATGTTGAATAGACAAGGAAAGAACCCAGACCAGGAATGTGATTTCTGTGAGTGGCAGTGATATTCTGTTGCTTTTTGCTTCCCAATCCCTTTAAAATTATTCCAGCTCTAAATGGTCTAGGCCAACTCTGAGGATCCACAAGGAAAGTAACATAGGGTGTTTTAGGGTAATGGAGGTTTACATAGTGAAAAGCTATAAAAGCAGGATTAGAGCTCTGGTCATTCTGTTGATTGATTACCTCTATATTAGAAACCAAACCTGGGCTAGTATGACCTAGAAACACTGCTTTTCCCAGTTTTCCTTCTCTTTTCCACAGCTAGTGTATTAGTGAATAAGGGAACAGTTTATTTATATTCCTACCCAGAATAGGAGGAACATTGTTTTAAGGAATACTTTAAAGACTAAACTTAAGGATCTTGATTTAATCCTAAAACTCCTAAAATTCATCTTCTACCTCTCTGCACTGTCTTACCTTTTGAAGCAGAGATTAAGATGCCATGTGTTATTCTGTGTGTTTTTACAAAACATTGAGAGGGAGTGATGTTAGCAAGATGGCCAAATAAGACATCACTGGCTCACATCCCTCACTCAACAAATATAAACTTGGTATCCATTTGTGTACAAAAATGCTTTTATAAGAAATAGGAGACCCAGACAGGAGATTGTGAACATTCCCACTCTCCCAACCCCCATGCAGTCTAAGAACTAGGAGCACTGTATTGAGCAAACAGGCTAACACCCCAGCAGCTACTTGCTGACCATACTCCTGGCTATCGTTCCTGACACAGCTCTATACCCTGAGTGACTTCATGACAGCCCTGTTTGACTTGGGTTCTGTCAGCAGCATCATATGCCAAAAGACCCAAGAGTAGTCTCACCCACCTGTGTGATAGGTGATAGGAATACAGGATTTTGTCCCAGCTTTGGACCCTAATGTAGTGCATGAACCAACTCCAGCCCTCTCAACTGTGATCCAGGAGGCCCTGGAGAACACTGATAGAGATAGTCACCCACAGTGAGAGAGCCTGTGTGGAAGTTCAGGAGTCTGGCAGATAGTTCAGCAAACAGTTGGAGTACAAGTCTGGGACTTGACACTTGGAAGAGGTCAGGCAGTAAAGATTAGAGGAGGTGGCTGCTACTTCAAATGTGAAGACAACAATGCAAGGAAGAAACATTAACATGAAAAAAAGTCAAGGAAACATGATACCACAAAAGGAGCAGGAACACAATAATAGAAAATTCATAAATATATAGAAATTAAACAACACTCCTGAACAACCAGTGGGTCTAAAGAGAAATTTAAAAAAAAATCTTGAAAAAACAAAAATGGAAACAAACATACTAAAACCCAACAGGATGCAACAGAATTATTTCTAAGAAGGAAGTTTATAGAACTAAACATATAGATTAAGCAAAAAGAAAGATCTCAAACAAACAATCCAACTTTACATCTCAGGAACTATCAATACAAATAGAACAAAGTTAGAAACCAGGAAAACAGTAAAAAGGATCAACAAACTAAGAGTTGGTTTTTGAAGAGATAACCAAATTGATAAAGATATAAGATATAAGGGGAAAAGAGAGAACTCAAATATCAGAAATGAAAGAGGAGACATTACAGCTCATACCACAGAAATACGAAGGCTTGTAAGAAACTACTATGAACGATTATATGTCAACAAATTAGGATCAATTCTAGAAACATAGAACCTAACAAGACTGAATCAAGATGAAATGGAAAATCTGAACAGACCAACGCAAGTAAAAAGAATCAGTCAGCACAAAATCCTATAAAAGAAAAGCCAAGGGTCTTCCTGGTAGCACAAGGTGTTAAGCACCACACCATGAAGTAATCCACAGCCTCTGCAGCACGAGTTCAATCCCCGGCCAGCCGGGAGCAACCCACATGGTGCAGCAGACCTCTCCTGTCTCACCAGCTGCTCCCCTCAGCAGTGTACTTCGGTCAGTCTGCCTGTTCTGTTGCCTGCTCTGTCTCTGGTGAATCCTCTCACCCCCCGCATCTCTGGCCTGACCCCAGCTCTTGTATGCATAAATAAATAAATCTTTTTTAAAAAAAGAAAAAAGAAAAGCCAAAGACAAGATGGCTTTGCTGGCAAAGCCTACCAAACATTTAAAGAAATATTAACACCAATCCTTATCAGACCTTACAAAAAATTGGGTTGGGGAGGGGGTGACATTCCCAACCTAATTTTACAAGACAACATTCATCCTGATACCACAGCCAGTCAAGAACTTTAGGCCAGTATTCCTGATGAATAGATGCAAAAATACTCAAAAAAATACTAGCAAACGAAATTCAACAGCGCATTAAACGGATCACATACCACGATTGATTTACCCCTGGGAATGCAAGTATCGATCAACATATGTACACCAATAAATATGACATACCACATTAATAGAATGAAAGGTAAAAATCATTTGATCTCAATAGATGCTGAAAAAGCTTTTAACAAAATTCAGTATCTTTTCATGATTAAAAAAAAAGCTAATAAAGTGTAGAAGGAATATACCACAACATAATGAAAGGTGTATATAAAAAACCAATAGCTAACACTATGCTCAGCAATAAAAGACTGAAAAATTTTCTTCTAAGAACAGAACAAAAGTGTCCATTCCCACCACTTTTATTCACCTTAGTACTGGAAGTCCTACCCAGAGCAATTAGGGGGATAAGAGAAATAAAAATTGATAGGGAGAAGTAAAATTGTCTCTCCCTGCAGATTATATGATCTTATACATAGAAAATCCTAGACTCCACAAAAAATCTGTTAGAAATGATAGACTGATCTAGTAGCCCCACCTTTGTGTATATAGGTGTTCCCTAACATCTGAAAGTATTTCTGTGAAACCTTTTATAAGCTGAAATGGCAAAAAGCAAAGAAGTAATTACCATTAATTTGTATGAGAACATTTCTTAGCATTCCCAGACCCCAAAATAGCCTATAAAATCAATACTCAATCCTAACGTAGTAAAAGCAGAAGTGATATAAGTACTCAGCCTATGTGATTCCTGGGGAAGGCACTTGGGGTGCCCTTCTTGCTGTTTGGAATGTATGCTGCATCTGGAACATCTCACTGCAAAGCAAACACTGATTGCTATTTTCACTTTTTTGTTGTAAAAATAAAAATCCTCTTTGGGTTTCTTTTGGTTAGTGAAAACAGTACTAATGTGGGTCATTCATAAAATCAAAGTGGCAGAACACAAACTTTTAAAGGGGGAATACAGGAAATGCCTGTATATCCAAAGGAAATGAAAACAAGGTATTGGCAAAAACAGAGCCTCTGTACTCCCAAGTTCATTGTAGCATGATTCACAGTAACCAATATATGGTAAACAACCTGCATGTCCATCAGTGAATGAATGGGTTAAGAAGATATGGTGCATAAGTGTGTGCAATTCGGTATTAATTCAACTGAGAAAGAAGGAAACCCTGCCATTTGTGACAACATGGATGGAGCGTCAGGGCTTTGTGCTAAAAAGATTTAATTTGAAAAATAGTTGCTGCCAGGTGGGGAAAATAGGAAGAGGTTGGTAAAAGAGTACAACACGCTCATCTATGAGATGAATAAGATCTGAGGATCTAATGTAAATCATGATGACTGTAGTTGATAAATATATTACATAGTTGAATTTTATATTTTATTTGTATATATAGTTGTATTATATAGTTGAAATTTGCTAAGAGAATACAATTTAAATATCCCCACCACACCCTACCTCCATAAAAGATAAGTATGTGAGGTGACAGGTGTGCTAATAAACTAGATGGGGTGGGTAATTCTTTTATAATGTGTATAATATCAAATCACCACAATGTGCATTTTAAATGTATAATTTTCTGTAAGGCAGTTATACCTCTAAAGCTGAAAAATTGAATTAAGAGTAAAAATAGTTTGTTCACAAGTTCATCTTCCATTTATAATTAGAAAAATGAAGTGTTAGAAATAATTTGTGAAAAATGTTGGAGATACCCTGACTTCCAAAATCAAATCCATATTCTTAACTTGGCATCTAAGACCCCATATGATATGAAGAGAAAAGTTTTGAAGTGATGCTCAAGTCTCTGACTACATCAGCTGTAGTCTTCTTGAAAAGTGTCTTTCTGGGGAGCTAGTTAAGAAAAATCATTTTTTGGATACCTATTGAGCTTCTTGTGTCTGTACTAGTTTCTTTTAACATACAGATACAGTGTTTCTATTGACATTTAACTTACTGCCACTTTGAAGTTAAATGAAAGTAAAGACTTGTCTAGGCAATATATTTATCATATGCCATTGGACATGAAAAGCAGCACCCAGTAAATATTTTGTGATAAAATGAAGAGATGACTAAGGGAGTAGAAATGAAGAGGTGAATAAGGTAATAAAAAAATGTTAAACTGTACAAATAGTACACCAATTTATAAGTGCACACAGAATGTTTAAGTAAATTAATTTCATTTTAGGATGCAAAAAAACTCAGATGAAAGTTTTATATCGTGGAAGCTAATAAATAGTCTCCTTTTAAATAATTGTGTTGAAGATGTTTAAAACACTATTTGTAAAATATGGGAATATATATCACAATTTTAGAAATCTGAGGAATCAAGGTATTTACCATCATACATTGATCATTTAGATATAATGATATGACTAGAATTTGCTTCAGAAGGGGAAAGGGGGAGATAATGAAAGAAATTTTGAAGGAAATTGCAAAGGCCAAAGCGGAAATAAATTAGAAAAATGTAGAAGTGGCCACAGGAAGATGTAAAAAACCAACTCTATAAGTAACTTCATAAAGCCTTTAAAAATAAAACTGCTGCCATGTGATATTAATGGGAAAACCACAGATTGCGGGATCCGCTTGTGAGTGATTCTGTCTTCTCTCTCTGTGTCTCTCTCTAGTTACTGTGATCAACTGAAAGTCTCTGAGAGCACCCACGTGCTCCAGCCATTCCTCCCCAGCATCCTGGACGGCTTGATTCACCTAGCGGCCCAGTTCAGCTCAGAGGTTCTCAACCTGGTGATGGAGACCTTGTGCATCGTTTGTACAGTAGACCCAGAATTCACGGCAAACATGGAAAGCAAAATCTGCCCCTTCACCATCGCCATTTTCCTAAAGTACAGTAACGGTATGCCACCCGGGAGGATGCGACGAGGGCACCACGGAAAAGGTGGTGGCTGATGCAAGTTTCCCTAAGTCTGATGATCTGAAGCATCATGAAGAAAGTGACTTTTCAGTTAGTAAAGAGTAGAGTTGTGCTATGGCATTAAAAGAATACCTATTCCTAAAACTTATTTCCTAATAAAAAACTGGCAAAAAGTAGTGACTAAAAGACTAACAGGAGATATAAATCATAACTTTGATGATAAAGTAGGAAGTTGAGCAGCTAAATCAAGAACTTCCTAAAAGAAAAAAACCTAGAACTATAATTTAGAAAATAATGATATTGAAGAAAGAGATACACACAGGGGTTTACGAACAAAGGTATTTTGTGAGTGTGTTTTTACAATAGCAGAAGTTTGGAAATAATAAAATTCGATATATCCATAAGATGAAATACTTTGTAGCCATTAAAAAATGAAACTTCAAAAGAAATATTTAAAGTCATGAAAAAAATGCTCACATTATAGTAAATGAAGACAATTCCCAAAAAGTGCATAGATTATAATCCCAAGTTTTGGATTTGTTTTAGAAAAGGAAGCATATATAGATTTGTATATAGAAAAAAGCCCGAGGAAAGACATCAAAATGGCATTGGTGGTAGAATTTTTTAATTCTCTTCTGCATTTTAAGTTCTGTGGTGTATGTGTATTCTTAATAGTTTATTATCAGAAAAAATATTGAAGCTGTTTGTTTTGAAAGAGGGAGCTCCAATACTGAGATTCAAAAGGATGTATAGAGGTAGGGGTTGGTTAGACAATATATTAAACTTTTTTTTTTCTGCTTAAAAATTCTCCCGAGGAACTTGCCATATTGCAATCTTGTCTGTTTCTTCTTTTCAACCATTATATATAGTAGTCCATAGAATGGCTGTGTCATGAGTATTTACCCATTCTTTTAATGGACATCTAGATTGTTGCCTTTTTTTTCTGTTAGAAAAAATGCTGCAGGAATCTTTTAAAACTTCTTGGTACATTACACACTGCATTTTTTTTCATGCTAGATAGAGGAGGATGTTTTTCTTACATAGGGTAAGTAGGTCAGTCTAAAGTTCTGTTTCTTCATAAGGCTCTGCTTTCTCAAGCTTTTACCTTACCCTGGAAATGGCTTTGGCAGTTCTTTATGTCCATCGCGATCACTCCCTAGGAGATCACCCCAACATGTAAGAACCTGGGGGCAATTTTTTAAACTCTCTTGTCTTAACAAAGTATCATTTGCCTTTTTTTCCCCCCTAAGCTTTTGGTTTTACAATCAGTCCAGATTTCACAAGAATGAAAACTTTAAAAGATTTGCCCCAGAAAAAGAGCCAAGTATTATTTTAGGCGTAGCTATTACTGACTAGTCCTTGCCTTAAGGAAACTGCATATTGTGCCTCTTAGAGATTCAGTGTCTGCTGTTCTTTCAGATTATTCATGTGACCTCAGTCTGTCTTGGGTATGTGATATGAAATCAAAACAGAAGGAACTGTCTTAGGTTAGGGTCCAACAACAGTCCCTAACTTGGAAGCACATACAGACCCTCAGCAGGGCATTCGTGTTGCCTTACCCACTTCAGATCCTGTCGTCGCTTCGCTGGCTCAGGACATCTTCAAGGAGCTCTCCCAGATCGAAGCCTGTCAGGGCCCAATGCAGATGAGGCTGATTCCCACTCTAGTCAGCATAATGCAGGCCCCAGCAGACAAGATCCCTGCCGGGCTCTGTGCGGTAAGAGGCAGAAATGGGGGAGGGGTGTGTATGTACCTGTACTGCAGCTGATGGGAAACTATTAACATTAGAGATGGGATGATCTTACTGGGTTGTTCTGCCTGTTTGGACAGTGGATGATGCCAGAGATGCCCTGAGTGAGTTGGACAGAGTGCCATCATTACATAGCACCACTAAGTATGTCACCCAGCTACCTTATCACCTGCCATACACTGCCTACCTCCATGGCTAGTCAAGCCGTAGCTATCTGAGGAGGCCAAAAGCTCTGTTTACGATCTAATTACTCCTCTTTCAGAAACTTGCCTTTCATTAATGGTTTTTCTCTGAGTTGCTATCGTGTCTGCCCAGTCAGATCTTGGTTAGGTACGCCTCTCCCGCCCACCTTAAGCAGTTCTGACTCTGTTCTTCTCTTCTTCAGACAGCCATTGATATCCTGACCACAGTGGTGCGGAACACAAAGCCTCCCCTCTCCCAGCTCCTCATCTGCCAGGCTTTCCCTGCTGTGGCACAGTGCACCCTTCATACAGATGACAACGCCACCATGCAGGTACTTGGGGCCGTGGGGGCTAGAAAAGGGACAAAAACTCCCCGCCGTGGGCTTGTAGTTGTAGGCTGAAGAAGTTGACAGTTTCATGCTTCTGAGATGTAGGTTTCAAAACCGTGTCTACCCAAAGGACCCGGGAAGGGTTAGACTACAAAAAGCAGCTTTGGGGTACATTTTAAAGAGTGTAAATGCCAGGCATCCTCCCCATTCTCATCTGGGTATTGCTGTGATAGAAGCGATTTCAGACATAGAGTCTTGGGACCATAAGAAAGCTTTCCTGGATGTGTCTTATGGTTAATAAGGTCAGCAAAGTAATAGGCCTTTGGAAATCTCTAGGCAAATGGTGGTTTGTAGAGGACTGTCTTTATTCCTATAAAGACTTGCAGTACCAGCAGGTACTCCTAAATCTTAGATGTATTTTCCAGTACCTACTTGGTAGGTACTAGAATATCCAGGATTGCTATCCGGAATAGATATTTATGATTAAAACTATTTATGTGGCCATTGTTTGTCCTTTGTAAATCAAAAATATGCATTTTGGACTTAACTGACAAGGTAACTAGTCACCAGGGATTGTGACACCATGTGCAAGCCAGCGCTAACCCAGTGGGCTCACTACTTTTATGAGACAAAGCCCTCTAAGAGTAACATGTACCCATACCAATAGAAAGCCTCCTGGCCACTGTCCCCTAGTCACTAATGTCACCTGCCACTCCTGTCTCCCCAGAATGGTGGAGAGTGCCTGCGGGCCTATGTGTCGGTGACGCTGGAGCAGGTAGCACAGTGGCATGACGAGCAGGGCCACAATGGGCTATGGTACGTGATGCAAGTGGTGAGCCAGCTCCTGGACCCTCGCACCTCAGAGTTCACTGCAGCCTTTGTGGGCCGCCTCGTCTCCACCCTCATCTCCAAGGCAGGGCGGGAACTGGGGGAGAACCTGGACCAGATTCTTCGTGCCATCCTCAGTAAGATGCAGCAGGCAGAGACCCTCAGTGTCATGCAGGTGAGAGGATATGGTGGCAGGGCCATTCTACCCCTGGTGATACGGAAATCACTGTCTTGCTCCTAAGTTCTTTTATTCTCTCTTCTGTCCTAGTAGAGCAGTCAAGTAAAATGTATCTATTGTGTGCCAAGAAATGTTAATGGAAAATCTCCAAATTTTCCTGTTTCTTGACTGGCCTGTCCAGTTCCCTCGTCTCTACAACTCGTTTCTCTGAAGCAGATGTCCTTGTTACCTCTTAGTCTCTGATCATGGTGTTCGCGCATCTGGTGCACACCCAGCTGGAGCCCCTCTTGGAGTTCTTGTGCAGCCTCCCAGGGCCCACCGGCAAACCCGCTCTGGAGTTCGTGATGGCTGAGTGGACAAGCCGACAGCATCTTTTCTATGGACAATATGAAGGCAAAGTCAGGTAGGACTTCATCTTTCTTCTTGGCATCCAGCTTCTTACCTTTCTCCTTTCCCTGGCTTCCTTCATTGATTTTTGTTTGACATATCAAACTGTCCTTTGCAGTCCTTTCCCTCTGTTTCTTTATTGCTAATCTGCATACTTAAATAGCTGCCACTTTCAGTTTCCCAGGCGGACCATTTATTTTTGACCTCTGCTGACTAGAGGTCCTCTACTGCCACAGACTTCGCCCAGCCCAGTGGTTTTGCAAACCTGTTCCTTCTAAGACAAGCTTTCTTTCCTGGATTTTTGTCCCGGTGGTTCTTACTGCTTTCATTGCCCCTTCCCATGTGGGTGCCATTGTGCTGCTTGCCTACCCCTCCATCGGAGCTCTTTGAAGCCACTTTCATGAACACGGATCCCAATGTCAGCTGAACTCTTAACTCTCCCAATTAGTCGTGGACAGAATTGTCACCATTGAAGAGTCTTAGGACATAATTGCTTATTTGTTTGGAGTGAACTCTGCACGGGTAACTGATGGAGCCATTTTGGCTCTTTCTCGCCAGCTCCGTGGCGCTGTGTAAGCTGCTGCAACATGGCATCAACGCGGATGATAAGCGGCTACAGGACATCCGTGTGAAGGGGGAGGAGATCTACAGCGTGGACGAGGGCATCCGCACCCGCTCCAAGTCCGCCAAAAGTGGGTGATACTGCTGCCCCGTCAGCCTCTCCTTGGGAACTAAGGGTACCTGGGTGAGAGGCAGGGCTGTGCTGTCATCTGCCTTGCTAAAGCATCATTGTAGTGATGGCTGTGATAAGAAGCAGCAGAAAGCTGTAGGTAAACATTGACTCAGAACATATGCTTCCTTCCTCTTGCTCAATATTGATGAAAACTAGTCTCAGCTTCCAGCTCCATTTTGGGTCTTTAATAACCATTTGTAGCATGTTTTGGTTACTGGGTTGCCTTTGGCCTTTGGCTTCAGTGAGTTGTAGGTAGTGAGTGTAGGGCTGCTGTCTGTAACGGTCTGTGTATAATCACCCATGCCTCTCAGATTGCACGTCATGGGGACTCAAGTGCTGTGCTGTGTAGAGCTCTTGGTTTTTGAGCTTTATTACTGGCGAAAACCTACCTCCTTTAATTCCTGAACTCTCTCATCTCTCCTAATCTGAACTCTTAACAATAAGCAGAATGAAGTTATTTAACTTTAAATCATTCTTTGGTGGCTGGATATGGTCTGGGATGGTGAAAAACCTGAGGGATGGTGAGCGGCACTGCAGGAAGATGAGGGTGAGCCCAGTGACAACCTGACTTGAAGCCTTGCCTTTCCTCCGCAGACCCTGAGCGCTGGACCAACATTCCTCTTCTGGTCAAGATCCTAAAGCTGATCATCAATGAGCTCTCCAATGTCATGGAGGCCAATGCCGCTCGCCAGGCTACCCCCGCAGAATGGAGTCAAGGTGCACCAGGCCCTTCTCCCAGGAGACTTTGCCTGGCAGATTAAATTACAGATTCTCAAATTACTAGCTTGGTTTATTATGCCATTGATCTTTTTAAAAAAAAAAAGAAAAGAAAAGAAAATGCCATACACTTACCTGCTCTGGCTGGCACTGCTAAGCACCTAAAGAGCTGGTTTTCAGGTTGGCTTTATGAAATCTGACAGAATTTGGGATGGGAGGCAGCCGGGAGGCTAGCTGCTTTAGCTCTTCCTGATTTAGTTTAGTTTTTCTCAGGAGCTTCTCAGTCTTTTATCTCCCCACAGAACACTCTTGGTTCTTCCATTCAAACTTCTGGGAGGGTTTGGTCATCCCTAGTTCTCCCCCACTGGGCACTACAGGCCATGTTGCAGAAACCCTTGCAGCCTTCCAGTCTGGCCTGTTTGCACTTGGGGAGGGAGAATGCATGCGTGTGCAACATCTTCTTCTCATCTCCAAGTAGATGACTCCAATGATATGTGGGAGGACCAAGAAGAGGAAGACGAGGAAGAGGATGGTTTGGCTGGTCAGCTCTTGTCTGACATTCTTGCTACAAGTAAATATGGTAAGCAATTTGAGAAGAGGACACCCATGTTAGACACTTTTTCCTTGCACACTGCCACCAAGAATGGGGTGCCCCAGAAGGGGAGAGGTGGGTCCACAAGGCACATTTCTTGGACTTTAAAAACCCTTCAGCTTCAGCCATGTGGTGACACCTCACTGCCTGGGCTAACCAGGGGCCCCTGCCCTGACCCCTCCCTGTGTTGGCTGTGTCTAACAGAGGAGGATTACTACGAGGACGATGAGGAAGATGACCCTGATGCCCTGAAGGATCCTCTCTACCAGATTGATCTGCAGGTGAGGGTGTCCAGAGAAGATGTCTTGCAAGTGACAATGTCTGAAGCTACAGAAACAGGAATATGGGCTCAATCCCGTTCATTGCTCATCCTGGAGCCACAGAGAGCCTGTTTGCTGAGTGGTCAAGGGCTCTAGTGGGCTGCAACTTTGCACCTTACTATATTATATAAGTGTTGTAACCCAGCTAATGATGAAGCCAGAGTGTAAAGGGCCTCAGAATGGGATATATATTCTTGGGGAACTTTCATTTCCCTATGGAATTTAATCTCTGGATTGAACCTTAACTATATCCAAGAATGAGAAAACCATCCTTCAGGATACTGGCGTTTGTCTAAAAGCCACTGTTTCCTGTACCACTGTAGGTGGGTGACCCTGGGGTCCTAGGTAATGCCACTCTTTCTCTTCTCCCAGGCATATCTCACGGACTTCCTCTGCCAGTTCGCTCAGCAGCCCTGCTACATGATGTTCTCAGGCCACCTTAATGAAAACGAGAGGCGGGTTCTGCAGACTATTGGCATCTAAAGAGCAGAGCCTTTCCACATGTGCTCCTTCTCCTAGCCCAGCCACAAACTTCTGCAGCTCTGCTGGCTCTGAGATGTGCTTTCTCAACCTAGAGTGGCCTCCTGACTCTTGGCCCTGGGCCTTGGCTGAGTGACACCAATAACGATTCAGATCAGGCTCACCAGTGCTGTCATTTAGGAATGCTGGAACAAAGGACATTTCTCGAAGCCCCCATGAAGATATCCCGACTCTAGAACCTTTTTTCTCCCCAAATGTGCCCCTACCTCTGCTCCCAGAGTCCTCTGCTGGGTAGTCCAGAAACATCATTGCCCAGAAGGATTATGTGTTCATGGATTATTTTGCCCCACTGCAGGAACATAGGAAGGCATGACCACTCAGATCCTATACCAGACCTGTCTGCTCCATAGGACATCAGGTGTGTGCAGATAAGGACACCCTTGAGAGGAAAGTATGTTTCCTGCTCTCCAGCACAGGTGCTCTGGTTCTGGGTAGGAAAGAACGTAGCTGTGTTCAGAGCCCCCAGTGGCCACCTCCCTCCTACAACACTGAGGCCCCTGCCAGAGGTCTCGTCTTGTTTTTGCCTAGTTGCATGACAGCCCCTCCCCCAAACTATCTCTGTGTATACAAACACAAAGTAAGCCAGATGGCAATTTGTTTTTCCTCTTTTAGGGAAAAGAAATGGGAAAAACAGATTTTTTTAAAGTCTCCCTGACCCACCTATATTTAATATGCCCCTCCCACACAGTCTGATATTCAAAGGTGTACCCCTTCTCCCTCAGGAATCCTCTAAAGTGGTTAAGTTGTAGCCCTCAGATTTGCAATGTGTATTTTTCTAGGAGAGTAAAGTAATCTTTACAAATGAATTTAGTTCGCATGGTGTAAGGTCTCAGCAGATCTGCCTTTTTTTCCCCTTTAGAAGGAAAGTAAAAATAAGGACATAGGGGTTGGGTGGACCCCATTTTGACACCCTGGCATTTTAGCTTACCTAACTTGAAGTGAATCTTAGAAAACTGGCATTGTTCAAGTATTTTTTGTTCAAGTATTTTTAAGGGAGTTCCCTTAATTAGGAAATTTAGTCTGCTGTGGGTTCAAAGAGTGAGGATAAGAAATCCAGGGCAGAAAGGTAAAGCCCAGCTTTCCCTTTTTCTTGGTAGTTAGTGCCCAATCTGGTGCCTCATTTTAAATAAGTACAGAACAGTTCTTTACGTTGGCGGGCTCAGAAACAGGAAATTGAATATAAGTGAATTTAAACCTCATTCCCAAGGAGAGGGCCCCTGGCATGGCATTTACTCTTCCTGCCACTAGGTGTTCTTGGTGTGCAACTCCCACGACTGAGTCGGGACTGAGTCGGGTGGGACGTCTGTTAAAGTTACTATCTTTGAAAAGCCTGAGGGCGTGTGTGTTCACAGTGTGTCTGCTGCCAGCCAGGTTCTAAAGCTAATACTGCCTGTGCCCCATGAGTTGGGAGAGTCACTAATACTGGGGAAATGATGGCAGCCCTAGCCAGTCAGTGCTCAGGAAAACCACAGCCTGAGCCTTAGAGACGCCATAGTTGATCTCAAAGCAGTGCCAGTTGGATTCAGTGCTAAAGGTTCTGTAAGACCAAACCAGCCCTTAATTTTGGCACAGAGAGTGGCCTCATGCCCGGCAGCATTGAACCAGTGAGTTTGGGAAGACTTGGGGATCCCGCACAGAGATAGGTGTGATGTGGGCTCTTGCTGAGCTAATTAGGAAAATAGCCCGTATCAAGTGCCAAAAATGGCCCTTTGGCAAGAATTCTCCTCCTGCTTTCTTGCTGGGTCTTCTGCCTCAGGAGAACATGAGTTCTGAAGGAAAGGGTCCCAAAATCACTTTAGGGATTGCCATGCCCCCTGACCATAACTGCTATGCATGAGAGCAGGGGGTCATAGGCCCCCTGGTGCAGGCATTTCTTCATGTTGGCAGAACATTTTCACACCCATCACCCCTCTGAACCTTTCCAGCAGGTACACAGTGGATATTCCCAATTATGTTGAGGAGAGTTGAGGGAAATTACATCCACTGTCTACGGGAAGAAAAGCTGTGGAGCCAGCTCTTATTTTGTCTCTTTTGGGTCATAGAACTAGCTTCAGTTTGACAAGGGCAGGCTCATCAGTTAGGAGTTGAAATTCAAGATGAGGCAAGTTAGGGACTAGTAAGCACTTGGCTACTCTTAAGATACTCCAGGTCTCCTGACCATAGTAAATAGCAACTAGGGTACCACGGGGTTTCCCAGGAGTTTGTTGAGCTCTTAGTCAAGAGAAAGGAAAAGATAGAAGAATATTAGAAGACAGAAACAGAGGTAAAGTTTCCCATTATGAGTGTGAGCCAAGAAATGACTCAAGCAGATACAAACATCATCACTGTGTTTAATAGGTACTCGTTACAACTTAACAAGGGATGCCAAACTGGCTTCTTGGTCTAGTGTGTTAACAGTCTAGATCAAATCTGGACACAGGAAGATTAGAACATGAAGGAGATAGAGAAGCTGGTAACTGGCCACCATTAGACCACAGATTCACCCATTGTGGGGCGATTTATGATGCACCTCAGGGCCCCTGGCCTCTCCTTTGTTACTTTGTTTGACAGATAAGGGTTGTGTTGTTCCTATGCCTTACTCATTCTAAAAAGAAAACTTGAAGCCATGTATGAAAGTAGTACTCACTAAGGAAGAGATGCTATGACATTTTTTTTAGAGAACAGGAAATCCCTGGGAAGGATGATAATTCTACAAGCTATAAAGAAGGGCAAAAACTAAATGGAAAGTTGTTTCAATGTGGATTGACATGTACTCTTGAAAAAAAAAGTTGAGGATTATAGACTATAAAGTGTTCTGTGTCTGGAGTGTTCGTGCTATCAGGAACTGGAAAGGTCTTTTAAAAGCTCCATTGTAGCCCCGGGCTGGGGTTGGAGACACACATGGTCCCAAGTAACGTGTAAGATCATCTCAGGTTCCTGTGCCTGCTGTTGCCATCCTAGAATGCTGTTCCATTGTGCTCATCCAGGATGCTCCTGACAGATGGAGCAGGAGGAAGACCATGGAGAGAACCTAAACTGTCAAGGGAGAGGAGCATGGAGCTGAGAAGACTCAGGGAAAACAAGATACTGCTGTGGAAAATAAAAGCATACCGTGAAAGATGCTATACTTCACACCCCAGCCAAGCAGACCTACGACCAATAAGTAGAGAATAAACCAAAAGCCAACTTTTCTATTTTGTTTCTATTCTGTTTCAGCAAATGTTAAACTTCTGTTACATGCCAAGCACCTGCTAGATGCGGGAAAGATCTGGCCCTTTCCCTCGAGGAGGTGGTCTGGTAGGTGGTCAGGAATAAATAATGCCAAAAATGTGGGGAATGCTATGAGAGAATAAGTACTGGGTTCAGTCCCTACTCCCCAAATAAGGGTATGGTCAGTGGTAATAGGGGAAGAAGTTAGGTAAGAGTGCGTGGAGAAGCTGACCCTTGAACTAGTACTTACAAGGTGGCTCACAACAATAACGGTTTCAGAAATATGTATTAAAAGCCATTTATTTCATTTACAGCACAATACCTTAAAAAAATACCTAATTTTGTTTACCTCATGTACAAAGTGATAGAATCAAAGCACAGATATTAAACATTTCCTGCCTGCCAAAGGTCACACAGCACGTGTGTGATTCCAGTCCAAACAGATTGTGCTTTTGCCAGTTCTCTCTTGCCTCCCTGTGCATAAAGTGTGGGGTAGAACATTCCCGAGAAAAGCTTAAAAAGGGATCATTAGGATGGAATTGTATTTTCAGATCCTAAAGCAGATTAATAAAAGTTTTGGAATTTATGGATCATAGGGATCTTGATTAGAAATAAACTGAAAGTGAGGGCCAGATAGTAAAGGTCCCTTAAAGGCCTCCAAAAAGTGGGGAATCACCCCCAAGATTGTAAGCAGAGAAGTGACATAAGTTTACATTTTAGAAAGCATTCTGGTGTTGATCCAGAAGTGACCAGAGGGCGACCTGAAACCTGTGTAGAAGTGGCGATGAAACCATCAGCCTGGCAGCAGCAGTGACAGCCTGGCTAAGGTGGCAACTAGGGATGGAGCAGAAGAGAGGTCAGTGACGAGCTGGCAAGGGAGCGTCAACGGGACCTGATGCCATTTCTTTTTTTTTTTTTTTTTTAAGAATTATTTATACAAGAACTAGGTACAGTCAGAAGCGCGGGAGGGTGAGAGAATTCACCAGCGCCAGAGCAGGGAGCAGAGCAGGCATAAGGACCGAAGTACACTGCTGAGGGGAGCAGGAGAGGCCTGCGCACCATGTGGGACCCTCTGGTGGCCGGGGAGCAGCCGGGGAACGAACCAGCGCCACAGAGGCTGCGGGCAGCTTCACAACCCAGCACTCAACCGCTGCGCCACCGGGGAGGCCCCTGATGCCATTTCTAAAATGGCAGCTGTGGGATGAATTGCCATGTTCGTCCCCATTGAAGGCAGTGCCCCAGCAGACCTGGCCGTGGAATTGGTAGTCTCCTCTCGTGGAAAAACCCCCCTTTCCCACAGGGTGTAGACGAGATCTTAACCCTACTTGATGAGGATCCCAGCAGCAAAGTCGCCCAAAGTAATTGTTCATAAAATGCCAGAACTTGTGAATTTTTTGCAATGATGGATTGGTGCAAGGTCAGCATTGGCCATGTGATGGCCCTTGCGTTTCCTGTTTTGTTGTGTTTGGAGTAGGTGAGAAAGGGTTGGCGTGATGAGTTTCCTAATTACAACTTGCACCAGGCCTTCTTGGCCCATGTGGTGCACATGACTGCATGCCAGGTGTGCTATGAAGTGGCGAAGGGACCGCTAGCCTGACCTGGAGGCCTAGGAAGTCCCCTCAGGTCTTGAGTTGCTCTGATTTGGCCTGATGACATAGCTGGAAAGTGATGGAGCTGGAGCAAGTGACATCCCCTCCAGTCCCTGGTTCCCCTTTCAGTCAAGAGAAGACCTACCACCTCATAGGGTCGTAGTTAGAACTAAAAGATGACTTCGTTAAGACACCTCCAACGGTGAAGGGTGTCTAGTCCCCGGCTCCCCCTCCCTCCATAGTCAGGAGCTATGTTTGGCTCAGTCTCCCTGACTCATGGATTAGAGTGACTCAATTCAATTTCACAGATGCTGCTGCTATATTCAGGTCCTGGTGAGTCTTCGGGAGGACAGCTCTGCGAGAAAATCTGCCGTGCCGCGGTCCTGCTGGGAGCGGGGTGGAAACAGGTGGTGGCTCGGCTCCTGCCTTCCACCTGCTAGGCAGAGTTTTTCTGTATGTGACATAAATTACCCATGTATTGTTTGCTTTCACTAGTTTTTCCCCTCCACTTATTCTAAGAACATAGCTGGAGTCTTTGTGTTTTCTTGCCTTGGTTGCTGTTGTAGGGTGGAAGGCAGAGCTGCTTGAGGACAGCCCTGCTCTGGATCCTCTGGTAGAAGCTTGGGTAGACTGAACTGGGTCCAGGGAATTTGGAGGAAGAGGAGTAGGAAAGCAGGGAAGGGGTCCCATAAGACAGGAAGGGAACAGAAGTCCATGGGCCTGTCAGTAGTGAGAGCCCTTCCCTGGGTCTGGGCAGAGCACGTCGCAGTGAGACTCCCAAGGAAATGGCTGCACACACCTGAGGACCCTGGGCTCCCGGGAAAGGTCCCCATGCCTGGGCCTCACAGGCCAAAACTGCTGGACTTGCAGGCCCCTGGGCTAGTCTAGCAGAACCTGTGTGGACGAGGCCTGCGGGGTGCAACCCCAGTGTTTTGCACTGTATGATATCCTAGAACCTTTCCATAATCGTGGAAGAAGGAGGAAACCATAATAACAGACTGAATTCCCCACCAGCTGGTAGGACAGAGGCCCAGTCTGATCTAGTTCAATGAAAAGAAAATAAAGAAATGTGATGTTTCTTCCACACCGGGCTTTATAACTGAATTCATGCCTGGCCCCATGTCCCTCTCCAGGTTGGCTCCCTTGTCTCATCGCTGACCCAGGTTCATGGCAGGAGCACAGAAATAAATGTGGAGGTAGGAGGGTTGGGTTCCTATCCAGGCTCTGCCCATGACCTTGAGAAAATACCTGTTGAACGGGACAGGGGGGATGGGCTAGAGCATCTCTGCTAGCTGGGGGTTCTAGTAAGTGAATCATGGGCCATTACAAATGAGGAGATCAAGACCAAAGGCAGTAAGTGACTTCTCAAGTTCACAGAGCCAATCAGCGGCAGAGCAGGAGTCTGCTGGTCAGAGGTTCAGAGGATGAGGTCGGAGTCAACCTGAGTTGCAGTCTGGCTCAGCCACGTACCAGCTGGCGACTGAACCAACCACTGACGTGCCTCTGTGTCCTCACCCACGGAACAGGTGTAGTATTGGTGTCTCTTTCATGGAGTGAATTTGAGGATAAAAGTCAATATAGAGACTCCACAGTGCTGCCTCGTGGTGAGCATGCCAGCTACTGTCTAATCCTGAGTCTAATGAATTCTCACCTAGACCTGCCCTCACACAGCAGGCCTTACTAAGAAAGATCCTGCACCTCTTAGATCCAAGTTTCCATCTGTGCAGATGGCTCACAGGGCTTGCCAGAAAACACCCGGTGTGGCAAGGGTCAGCTGGAGGACTGAGGCCCATGTCCCAGACCTTCCCAGGAGGGACAGTGGGGACAGACAGTGGGGACAGAGCTGGGAGCAGAGCCTTCTTCCTCTCAACCTCAGATCTCAAAATAACACTGTCTGCCCCCACCCTGCCCAGCTGGCAGAGCTGCAGACTGAGTAAGGTGCCATTTAAAGATAACTTGGCCCTCCCTGGCCGGCTGGGCTCTTGCCAGCCACAGCTGCCTGGGACCATTGCTGCTCCCACAACCCCAGGCAGGCTGCTCACAGAAGCCACCCAAGTTGGCTTTTCCTGAGTTTGCCCAGACTCACCTGGGACTCTGCTCAAAGCAGCAATGTTCTGGGAGAGGTAGTCCTGCAAAGGCATTGCTAAACCACCCTTGGGGAACAGAGCTCCTAGCAGGAGCTAGGTCAGCAGTGAAGTCAAGCTCCACTGCCCTGCGCCCACCCTGGCCCCCTCCCACTGAGAGGACAGTCACAGGAGAGCCCGTCTTTCATCACGGCGAGAAAAAAGCTGGATGCCAGGAAAGACTGATAAGCAGAGACACTTCTGATTCTGGGCAGTGGGAGTCAGGACACTTGATTGGTTTAGCTCACCTCCTACCCCCAGTAAGCCCTGTTCCTGGCATGCTCCTGGACCTTGCTTTCCCCCAGGACTGCAAGGAGAATGGTGTGCCCAAGGCTGGGTGGAAGGGAGATTGAGATCAAAGCAGCCAGGAAAGGACTCAGAGTGCTTTGGAGGATGGGACTATGCAATTTCCTGTGTGGAGGAGTTGGGTTGCCTGAGGCCCAGGGGAGCAGGAGGGCTGGTAAGCTGGAGGATTCCTGCAGAGAGCACTGACCACTAGGGTGGCAAGTGGAGGGGGAGGGGAGTCCGCTTATCTCGGAAATGGCTCAACTCAAATGACTGGGCCAGACAGTGGGGCGGGACAGGAGCCTCAGGAAAGGAGGTTCTGGATCCCTGGGCCTTTGAAGAAGCACATGAGGGTTGGGAGGCGCTCTGGGCTGGCCAAGAGATGACCGAGCAGAGCACTCCTGCCACAGCCCCAGGCCAAATCCAAACTCGGTCATAGGCCTGGTGCTACCCTGCCCCTCTCCCACTCAGCCTGCTTGCGACCTCCCCTCCCACTGCTGAGGATTGGGCTGGGCGGCAAAGTCTCATGAGAGGTGCTCAGTGGGCCAGGCACACGGCAAATAGCATTTTAGACATGTAAGAGAAGCGGGCGGTGGAGAAGAGCTTGGACTTTAAAATCACAAAAGCCCGGTTTCAAATCCCGGGGTGTGTGCTGAAGAATGAGCTGCTTCCAACCTCAGTTTCCTCATCTGTACAATGGGACAGGCTCATGGGCAGTGTGAGCTGCTGCTATTATATTCCAGACACCTGGGGAGAACCTGCTTCTGGCAAAGCCCATATTTAGCTCATCTGATCACAGATTACTGGTCTGCTGCTCCCCCTCACAGGAAGCTGGGAGACCGGTGTGGGAGGGTGGGGTGTTCCTGTGTGCCCTCAGCTGGAAATGGTGTAGTGAAGCCCTCCAGGCCCCAAGGTGCAGACGACCCCTTCCGGGTCCCCCAGCCCCTCCCTATGACTGAGCTCTGTGACCTCAGCCTTCCCTCTCCCAGCTCCCCCAGCAGAGTCAGCTCTCCCCTCTGCCTTGGGGATAAGAGCCCCCTCTGCACCCCTGTGCTACTCTGATTGATACCGGAATTGTCAGGCCTAGTCTCCCAGCCAGGAACGGATCCCGGGCTGCAGGGCAGCGCTGAGCCCCAGCCGCTAGACCCCCACGGGTTGGTGTCTCACGAAGCCGCAGCAGGAACTTCGCAGACGCTCAGGCAAGCAAGCGAGAAGAGGCAGTTTGTTTAGAGAAAGAAAAAGTTTATTGAGGAGAAAAAGAGCAGAAATAAAGTGGGACTCCCAGGCCAGGAAACCAGGCCTCGGAGGGGCAAGGAAGCCAAAGTGGAGTTGTGTCTCAGGGACTATATACCTTTTTCCCCCTCATTATTCTAAAGCTCCACCAGTCTCTCTGTGATTGGTTAGTTCTCGGCTGTCTCACTTAATTTGCTACTGAGTGGGGGATCTTCACATTCCTTATCTAACAGCTTTCTCTTTCCCCATTTGTTGCATCTTTATCTTTATGGCCCGGTCCTTGGATGGGCATCCCTGCATTGAGGTTAAACAGCTGCCCTTCTACGTTGTCCATAAATTAAACCAATCTCCGCCTCCCTTTACCACCTGAAGGAAACCAGGACCAGCGTTAACAATGTTGTCCTTGGTCCTGAGATGTTTGTTTTTCCTAGTGGAATGGGTTACATTCCCTTGGTTGTCCTTATCTCTGAAGCCTCCCTAAATTCTTCAGAGGTCCCCTCCTGCACTGTCCCTAAAACTGCCTAATTTCTAGCTTGCCCTGTGTCTCATGATCACCTCCCACCCCATGGACTGGAAATTTTCCTAGAATTGGCAATTAAAACATCAGTGATGATTGGTGAGGGCCTGGCGTTTTGGTGAACTGGAAGCTCAGCCAGGGCCTGAGCTTTGAGAACTAATTGGAGAAAAAGAGTAAAGCAGGAAAGTAGCTAAGAAGGACTAAGTCCCGGGAAGCAAGTTGTTTTGTTTTCATCGGAGAGACGAGGTTTTTTGTGGGGAAAGAAGATGGCAAGGAAGGTGGACCCGAAGACGTGGAGTGGGGATCGTGAAGAGGAGAGGGGTGGGTGGGGTCCAGGGCACACAGCAGCCTCTCATGGGAGGAGACGCAGCTCTCCCTCGGGGGCCATCGAGTCAGCAATGACAGTGCTGATATCTACAGCGGGGTGACAAGGGAACGCAGTGCCGGTGTAGTCGCTCCATGTAAGGAACGTGCAGCCTAGGAAAGAGGAGGGGGCTAGGAATAGGCACAGTGTCTTGGGCACGGTGAGTTGGGAGAGATCTCTGCCGTCCCTCTGCTGCTGCATTTCTGCCTCTGGTGTGTGTGTGTGCGCTGGCCCTCCCAGACTGCCAGCAACTTCCCAGGACAGGAGCCAATTCTCTCTTTACTCCAGTTCTCCTGAGCAGGCTTACCAGCACCCCCAGGGGCCCAGGAGAGGGCAGCTCCTCTCCTGGCTGCCCTGCCCTAGCCTATTGGAATCCTGCTTGGCTCTCCTGCTGGTCTCCCTGCCTCAGAACACCACCTAGATTCCGAACATGGGTCCTACTCTTGCCCCTGCTGTTTACTGGCTGCTTCTTTGGGCAAGTCCTTGAAATCCCTTGAGGTCCAGTTTGTCAACCTGCAAAAGGAGACTGACAGTAAAACCCCCAACTTCATGTGACTGGTGAAATGCGGAGAGCCTCCTATGAGATGGCCGTCAAAGTGGCCAAGTGCTTTGTAAGGGGTTGTTCATGGCAAAGGGTTAAAACAGACTTTTGATTCTTACCCCCCAGCTTGATCTGCAGTTTGGGGTTAGGGGACGTCCTGCGAAGCCGGCTTGAGACATGGGACACAGTCACTGAGAGTGGAAATTTGTAGGGGGTTGAGTGACTCCTCCTGCCCTAAAACACTGGCTGCACTGTACTGACTCCTGCCCTCTTTGTGCTTTCCTGGCTCCGGCAGGGTTTGGCAGGGTCGCTCTGAAAAAAGGGGTTTTCACTGTGAAGGTGTCTAACTGGATGTCCCCTGGATGCCCCCTGGTGACTCCAGTGGCCTGACATCGCAGCTGCTGAGGCCATAGGCTGGTGCACGCCAGCGCTGTCCACTTGAGGGGGAAGGGGCCATCTTAGGGGGCCGGTGCAGCTGGCAGGGTCCAGGCCTGTGGACAGGCTGGGGACAAAGCCGCTCTGAGCTGGCTCTCAATGGGTGCCTGTGTTCTGGGAATGGGGGTGGGGTGATTCCCAGCCTCTTTCCTCCCTCCTCCCCCCACCCCCCGCCGCAGGACGTCCTGGGCTGGACACTGGGGCAGAAGAGGTCCCGCACTGGGGTAGGGTTGGCCCATGTGTCTGGGCCATCAGAGATGGCACCGGGATCGGGGCTTCTGGGGCCCGGGGTCCTGATTGGCCCCAGGCAGGAGGCGGGCCCAGCACACGGCCAGGCCTCCCGGCCGCAGAGCCGCCGGCCACCTCTGCCGGGGTAGAGCCGCAGGGGCGGGGGATCGGGGCAGCAGGGCCGGGCCCAGCTGGATGAGGGGCGCCCAGTCCCGAGCTGAGGCTGGGGCGGGGGGCGTCGCCGGTGGGTGGGCCCCTCGGCGGGACGCGGAGCGCGGGGGCAGGGTTACGGCGGGCCGGGCTTTAGTCCCGCCCCTGGAGCTGCGGGAGGGGCGCCCGAGCCTGGCGGCGGGCAGGGCCCCACAGCCTCTCCCGCTGGCCGGCTTCGTCCTGAGGTCCTTTCTCCCGGCGGCCGGGCTCCGGCTGCGCCCCATCCCCGACATGCCGCCCGCGGGGCTCCGCCCGGCCGCACCGCTCGCCGCGATCGCCCTGTTGGTGCTGGGGGCTCCCCTGGGTAAGGGCCAGAGGCGCGGGTGGGCTGGGGTGGGGGCGGAGAAAGAGGAGGGGCCGACCCCCACTCAGACCCTGGGGTGCGTTCGTGCCCTGGATGCCCGGGGTCTGCGGGGAGCAGAGGAGAGGCCCCGGAGGCTGGACCCTGGGAAACTGACGCCGCGGGCGCGGAGTCAGATCCGGGGCGAGGCCTCTGGAGCTCTGGGGTCAGGACCCCCACGGTGGTGACATAAAGCAGTTCCCAGCTTGGGGGATCCAGCGGACTGGGGGCTGGGGATCACCGGGGGACTGGGGCTAAGGGCGCCGGAGGACTGGCCTGGTGGCCACTGGGCACCCCACCCCTGCCCGCAGCGCTGGCCGGCGAGGACTGCCTGTGGTACCTGGACCGGAATGGCTCCTGGCACCCGGGCTTCGACTGTCAGTTCTTCACCTTCTGCTGCGGGACCTGCTACCAGCGGTACTGCTGCCGGGACCTGACCTTGCTCATCACCGAGCGGCAGCAGAAACACTGCCTGGCGTTCAGGTGGGCTGGGGCTCCTGGCCTAACCTCTCCTCCATTCTCCCCTCAGACACTGCCTGGGCCCTCCCTGCTTCCCCCAGGCCTCCTCCTGCCCCCTCACCACAGTCCACCTCCACATTCTTAGCCAAAACCCAGGAGTCAGCCTGGAGGGAGAGCTAGGTGTGAGTGCTGGGCTGGGAGTTCCCAGAAAGGAGATTGGTTCCCAGCCAGGCTGCACAGGCTGAATGCTCCCTGGCTCTTGCTGGGCCCTCCCCTTGGTCCTGTCCATCCTGCAGAGGGGGTGGTGCAGGTGGCTGGTGGCTCTGTGGAGGGAGCTCAGGCGAGAAGGCAGGAGAGCTGGGCTGGACCCCAGGTCCTCTTCTCACAAGTTGTGTGATCTCGGGGGAGATACTTCCCCTCCGGGTCTTTGTTTCTTCTTCATAAATGAGGGTGTTGCCACACCGTGTGATTGAACTGGGATTTGAAGGGGGAGGGGGAAAACGGCTCTAGATTATTTTTAAGATGCCTTTCTGGGCTAACGTGTGTGTCTAGCCGATTAAGTTGCAGCTGTGGGGGTGATGGCATGGGGAGTGGGGTGCACACTACAAATCCCAATGTGCTTCACCTGGCCAGTCAGGCAATGTGGCCTCCTGGGAAGTAGGGGTCCCCTAGATGTCCTTTACAGGGACTGGGACGAGCCCCTGAGGCACCCCAAATCTCTTTGCTGTGGCCCCCTGCTGGCCAGGAGCCGGAGCGTGGTTTTATGGTCACTGTACTAAAGGGTTGGAAGGTGAGAGGACCTGTTCTTTGTCTAAAGTCCCAAGACCATAGCAGGCATCGCGTCAGCTGTGATCCTCTTTGTGGCTGTGGTTGCCACCACCATCTGCTGCTTCCTCTGTTCCTGCTGCTACCTGTACCGCCGGCGCCAGCAGCTGCAGAGCCCCTTTGAAGGTATGCACAGAACTGGGAAGGTTGAGCCTGGCATGGGCTGTCCTGAGCCCTGGGCTGGCACCAGGAAGAAGGACGTGTGAGCAGAGAGGTAGCATTTGCTTCTGTACATGCACAAGCCCGTACGTAACCCCTGAAATGAGAATGTGTCAGGGACCCATGTAAACACCCAACACTGTCCACATCCATGACACATGTGACTCCAGATCTTCACACGGTGCCGTCTGTCACCATGGTGCGTGTGCAAGGATATATGCATGCGTGGGTCTCTAAGTAAGTACGCAGGGTGGGCCCAGAGCAGGGGCACCCACTGACTGAGCTGCAGGCCGCAGTGGAATGTGAGCCTGATGTGGCACATGACTGCGTATGTGGGCCTGGGGACCGTGACCACGATCGGGAGGTGGCTCTGTTTGAGTACCAGGTGCCAGCCCCTGGAGCCGCCCTCACCTTGCCCAGGCTGTGCTCTCTGGTTCACGAGGTCTCTGAAACCTGCGAAGGGACGCGGACATGCTGAGCCACCAGGGTGTGAATATACTCCCTGCTCAGCGTGGGGCTAGAAGGCAGAGGCAGCGCTGGCCAGACCTCGAGCCCGGCAGAGGGCAGCTGCCTTGCTTTCCTAGGCAGGGGAGGCTGCCATAAGTGATGGGCCTCTAAAAGTATATCTTTTTTTAAAAAAAAAAGATTTATTTATTCATGCATACAAGAACTGGGGTACAGGCCAGAGGTGGGGGTGGTGAGAGGATCACCAGAGACAGTGGGGAACAGGACAGGCAGACTGACTGAAGTACACTGCTGAAGGGAGCAGCGGGCGACACAGGAGAGGTCTGCTGCTCCATGTGGGGTGGCTCCCTGCCTGGGGATCAAACGCAACTCATGCTGCAGTGCTGCAGATAGCTTCCTAGTGCTGAGACTTAACCCCTTGGGCCACCAAGGAGGTCCTAAAAGTGTATCCTTGTCCTCCACCTAGGCCAGGAGATTCCAATGACAGGCATCCCAGTGCAGCCAGTATACCCATACCCCCAGGACCCCAAAGCTGGCCCTGCACCCCCCCAGCCTGGCTTCATGTACCCACCTACCGGTCCTGCTCCTCAGTATCCACTCTACCCAGCTGGTCCTCCTATCTACAACCCTGCGGGTAAGTAAGCAATCTGGAGCGCTCCTGCCTGCCCCCTGCTCTGGGGCCTCCCTCACCCTGACCCTTCTCCCAGACTTGCTCCACCTATAGCTAGAAACCTCCAGGCTGGTCTTCCTATGGAGCCTGCATGCCCGGGGCTTGGGAGTTGCCTCACCTCTCCCTGGGCCACCACTGACCCGCATCCCCTCTCCTTGACTTTCAGCTCCTCCCCCCTACATGACAGCCCAGCCCTCCTATCCTGGAGCCTGAGGAACCAGCCAAGTCTGCTGCCCCTTCAGTGATGCCCCCACCTGTTCCTGCATCTGGTCCTCGGGTGGACAGGGGTCCTCTACTTGCCAGGCCCCAGACCAGGCGAAGCCCTGGACCCTCCTAGGAAGGGCCCGGTTCAATGGAACAGGAACAGAGTGGGAACTTGGCCATAATGAGGGGTGGGAGGGGAGGGCTTGGGATTTGTGGACTCTTTTTCTTGGGGGGCAAGGGAAGGACATGAAAGTCTGGGTCCCAGCTCCTGCTTTCAAATAGTCCCTCTTCTCCCAGGACCCCAGCAGGGAAGGCCGGGCCCCTCCTGTTTGCCCCCCGGTGGGCTGGGATGATACTGGGAGAGGCTCCATCAGCTGAAGCCCTCCTCCTGGTCGCCCCACAGCCAGGGCATTGGCCTGCTGGATTAAAGCGGTAAAGCTGTAACCCATGTGAGTTGCATCATTGAGCCCATCCACCCCTTCAGATAGCGCAGCCTCTGCTGCGTCCAGACAACTACTGGCTGCACACCCCCAAGGGCAGGCCCCAGGGTGGGAGCAGCACCCCCTCACCATCCATGCAGAGGAGCCACAAGCTGAGGGCTCCCTGGGCTGATTCCTAAGGCTAACCTGCTGGGTTTTGCCACAACTGGGAAAAGGATGGTCATTTGCATTATAGAGGTTCCCACAAGGGGGCAGGCCTCTGCCTTTTGTGGCATTGCTGGCCACACATGGGCGTCGGCCAGTCAGGCACACTTCTGTTCACGCCAGGGCCCTACAACTGTCTGACTCAGGATGTGTCTCAGGCGGGCTCCAAGACCCAGTCTCTTCTTCCACACAACCGGGTGATTTCTCAGGGCTGTCATGAGGGTGCGACATGCACATGAAACCTTCCTGACCCTAGTCTCCCACTAGGAGCCAAGCGGAAAAACTGGCTGCTCAAAGACTGTGTCTGCTGCCTTGGGTCAACAGGGACCCTGAGACATTGAATCTGGGGCCCACAGGTCAGTGCCTCCCTCTGCGCTAGGCAGTAAGGAATATGTGTGCTCCCTCCCTCCACAAATACTGCCTAGAAAGGGCAATCTGGGAGGGCAGTAGGTGCCCCCACACCTGGAGCTGTTGTGCATCGAGCCAGACCCCTTCCCTGACCTTCCTGTCTGAGGAGAGGGTCTTGGGCTCTCAGAACTTGCCTGGATCAGAGCTAGAGAAGGAACATACAGTTTTTATCTCAAGTGGGAAAAGTGCTGACTCAGCTTGGCAAACCCGCACCAACAGTCACCTCCTCCCTCAGACTCCTCCTCCCAGCACCCCCTATGCTCAGCCCTCCTTCCTTCACCCTCCCCCGGTACCCCAGCCCCTCCCCTCACCCCACAACCTCCTACCCCTTCTCCTGCCCCACCCCCTGCTCTTATTCCCCAGGCCTCTAGGCTCCTGCAGCCTCTTCTGGGGAGGGGGGAGTGGGTTTCTGAACATGGAGATTGTACTAACCATGCCCCAGGCCCCCACCCACATAACATGGGGGCTACCAGGTCACCTCAAGGTATAGAGCCCAGTCCTCTCTTTCCTGAAGCTGCAAGGTGAGCATTTGCAGGATATAGTTTGAGTTTCCCTAAGAAATGAGGTGTAAATGTAGGCAAGGTCACGCCAGTCAGAATTAATTGTCCCTTCCTCACCCATCAACAACCGGGGCCAATTAAAAACTGCTTTGTAGTCAGGGTGGGAGACAGGTTTAGCCGACAGTAGCTGCCACCCAGGAGGTGCGGTTGCCCCCCTTGCAATATGTCCAGTCAGTCAGCTGTGAAGCACTGAACACAAGAGAATTCTAAGACAAGGGGGCAAACTACCCTGGGGCCTTCACAGTCTCCAGGGAGGAGGCTCCTTTGACATTTTCTAGTTCTTTAATTGGCAGCAGTACCCCTACGTGTCCCTCGGATTCTGCAACTCCTGTGACTCCCCCCCACCATCTCACCTGCTCCTCAGCAGGGGACAGGACCAGCAGGAGCACAGAGCTGGAGCTGCCCCTCCTGTCCACCTTGTTTCTCAACCAGCACCCCTGAAGACCAGACAAGGACCCTGCAAGGGCAGGCAAGGGGAGGAAGGGGTGGAGCAGTGCCCCTCAAGGATTGAGGTGTCCCATTAATGGGGCCCCACCAGGCTGGGAGGGGACACTGAGAACCCTAAGGGGAGGCCTGGGAGAAGGGGAGCACCCCTGGGGCAGCAGGGCCTGCTGGGCATAGTAGGGTAGCAGAGCTGTAAGGGGAAAGGAAGTTCAGATGCAAGGACAGAGATCCATGGAAAAAGGACAGACAGGGTGGGGTGCTTGGAGAAGAAAAAGGTGAGCAGGAAAGGGGAGCGCTGCTGGTTGGGTCAGGCAGGGGGAAGGGGGCCAGTCAGGGAATAGAACAGAGGCAGCTGGAAAAGTAGACTCTTCAGGCAAGGATGAGGGAGGGGGCCATATAGGAAGGGGTTGGAGGCCTGGAGGAGGGAGCCAAGGGGTAGGGAGAGAAGCGCAGGCCAGGGAGAGCGTAGAGCTCAGGGCAAGGTGGGCCACAGCAGGGAGACAGATGGGGCTGCAAGGCCTTGGAGCCCACTAGGGAGCTGGGAGACGGCCTTCCCCCTGGCAGGAGGAAGGGCAGCAGCTCATGGCACGCTAAGCTTAGCCACCTTGGTGATTCAGAAGTCCCCTCAGTGGGTGAGGGTGTTCAGATACTTTCAAGAGGACCACTTGTGTGTGTGTGTGTGGTGGGGGAGCAGGGTTGTGTGCAAACTCGCAGCGCCTGGGCCTGGAGCCCCTGGCACCAGCAAGCCCAGTTCCTGAGACAGGAGGATGACAGGGCCTCGGCAGCCCCTGCACCTGCCATCCCACCAACGGCCAAGGCCAAGTCAGGGCGTTGGTCCCCAGGGCTTAGGAGAAAGGCGCTTTTTCGTGGGGGAGGGGGGGATGCCTCAGATGCTGGACAGAGACGGCAGCTCCAGGTAGAAGAGCCAGAGCAGGATGCAGGGCCTTCTGGGTCTTCTCCGCGGGGCCGTGGTCCTCAGGGGCGCCGGGAGACACCCGGGTGTGGCAGCGCGAGGGCATCCCGGCAGGGCCACATCTCCGAGGAGGGTAAGGTGGACCGTGGGAGGGAGACCTGGGTTTACATCTGCACCCACCAACTTCTAGTCATTTGCTTTGAAGAAATTTGCATTTTCCTTCTGGAAAAGGCGCTTTCCGGGCGAGGACGAAGGGAGGCCGGCAGGAGCGGGGCTGTCCGGGCGCGTCCCGCAGCTCAGCTGGTCTGGAGCCCCGCGCCGCTCTGCGACCCGCGCCGCCTCGCACCGGCCCACCTCCCCCGGCGCCCGGCAGCGCCCCTGGAGCGGCGGGAGAACTTGGGACCGGTTTGCCCGCAGGGGGCGCTGTGCCCCCGCCTCGGGTCCCAGGCGCCGGGGAAGGGTGACGTCATCCCGGCGCGGGCGCGGGCGCGGGCGCGACCCGCAGCGGAGGCCGCGGACCGGGCGCCGCAGCTGCTTGCTTGGGGACAAGTGTTCCTTCTCTCACTAAATACTAAGTTCGGTCGAAAAGGCCTCTAAGGCGACAGGTGCGCGCTCACCTCAGGCCCGTGGGGAGGAAGCATCTGCCGTCAGGGGCAGCTCTGGGGTCTGGAGACGCGGGCCGCGCCTGCACTGGCTGTGCGGCCGCTCCCCTGCTGCCGCTCCAGGGCAAAGGCGGCCTGTAGAGTGGAGACGAGTCGGCTGGGGCCAATGCAAGTGCCTGGTTAACGCCTAGGGCCCGCAGATGGAAGCCCTGGGTGGGCTGAGCTCCAGCTGACACCCCTTGAGGGCTGGGAGATAGAGACTGTCTCCCTTTCCTGGTCCCAGCTCTTGCTTAGGTTACTAGCGGACCGGGGGTGGACAGGGACGGGAGCTCAGCTCCCAGGACCTTCCTGCCTGTTTTTTTTGTTTGTTTGTTTTTGAGAGATTTATTTTATTTATGCATCCAAGAACTGGGGTGTAGGCCAGAGGTGTGGGGGGTGAGAGACAAGTGGGGAACAGAACAGGCAGACTGACTGAAATACACTGCTGAGGGGAGCAGCGGGCGAGACAGGAGAGGTCTGCTGTGCCATGTGGGTAGCTCCCTGGCCAGGGATCGAACTCGTGCTGCAGAGGCTGGGGATAGCTTCATAGTGCTGAGACTTAACCCCTGTGCCACCAGGGACGCCCCTGCCTACGTTTTTTGCCCAGATCTAGCACAGCCATCCAGCTTCCTGGGGGTGGGGGGGAGAGGGGGAGAATCAGGGGGGGCCCAGAATACTTCCTACCCAGAGATGGTAAAACTGATGCTCCCTACCACTGAAGCCAACCTGGAGGCTGGAAAATCTACAGGGGACCCAGAGCCAAGGGGGCAGTGCCACAGTAAGGTGCCAATGGCTGCCCGCACATTAAAGCCAGTACAAGTCAGACAGATGCTTTTGATGGCAGAGGTGTGGGGGCGCTGTCAGGCCTGGTGTGGCCTGCTGGGAGGGCAGGGAGGCTAATGGGCAATGGGGGGAGGGGGGAACACTGGTGTGGGTGTTGCCTGCTCAGAGACCGCTGCTTTCCTGGGCCTGCGACTGCTGTGAGGCGCTGGCCCCGAGCCCCAGCCAGGAAGAGTCATGGGATGAGCATCCCCCAAACATGCCTAATATAGCCATCCCAGGGTGCTGGGCCTTCCCCGGCCCTGTCACCCCAGAGCCCTCTGGCCAATGACTTCAGGCAGCAAGACTGAGGTCCTGGAGGCAGCAAGTGTCTGTCTCCCTGAGGCCTGGTCTCCTTGGACAGGACAACTGGTCAGTGGGGTGCCCTCTACTCAGAGCTGAGGCGTCCCCCTGCACTGCACTGTCTGCAGGGATGAACTGAATTTGTGGTCAACTGGGGATGGCACGGCAGGGAACCTGAGCTTCTAGAGTCCTCCAGGGAGCCCAGTGAGCAGTGGACACAGTCGTTCTCAGCTAAAGGCTTGTATATATTATCAAAATCTTATGGAAAAACAGATACACGGCTATTTATACAACAGCAGGTGGGTGTGAGCAAAATGTCTGCTTTGGCATCCAACCTTCAAGCCCCGCTGTTGTCTGTCCCTCTCCTCCCGTGCCCCACCCACCCGGCACTGTCCATGTGGGCCAGCTGCCCCTGCCATGCCCTCTGACGAGCCCAGGGTGGGTGAGGGGTATTCCACGGGCCCTCGTGCCCTCTCAGCATTCTGCCATTACCCCACACAGAGTGCCACCAGCCCAACAGCATGGCCCCAAGGGCTCCTCAGAGGCCTGGATCCTGGCCCAGGGCAGCAGGGCTGGGGCGGTGATGTGATCCCCATGGGACATCTTTCCCGGATCATAGGCCTTTGGCAGTTGGCCGGCTACACAGATCCTAGGCATGCCATCTTCTCAGCAACGTGCTAGAAGGACTCTTCTTGTCTGGAAACCTCGGCTCCAGATAAAAAGAAACTTTCGGAGAGCCTCAGAGAGACAAGAAAAGGAAAGTGAGAAGAACTAAGGCATGGCCCAGGCCTCAAGCTTCCTTGAGCGTGGTCCTTCCTTGAGCGTGGCCCAGGCCTCAAGCTCTCCTGTGGCAGAACAGGGACATCCACAGCAGGTCAGCCGGGGGTGGGGGGCGAGGCCTGGGCAGACATGACATTGGCAGCCGCCTGGCAGCCCGGTCCTACTGGAGCAGCTTGGGTACTTCCACCTGTAGGAGCAAAGCAGACAGCTTTGAGAAGAGAGTTTGGCAAGGCCCCCATCTGCAATTCACCTCACCTCCTTCTTTCTGGACCACCTGGACACCAGACACCTCAGCCTATGTCTGTGGAGTGGATAAATGAGGGGTTAACACAACGGGAACATTTTTCCTTTTCTTTAGAAACTGGATGTCATTGAGTGGCCACTGGAATTACAACTAAGATTGCCCTTTAGCTCACGCTGTCTAGTCCAAGTGGCTATTGTGAGGGGATTAATTGCCACCATCTTGTCAGACAGAGAGCTGAGCCTGGACTCTGGCACCCAGAGAGGTAGGGCTTTGAGAAACAGGATCTCAAGGGCAGCCTCTCGGAGGGCTGGATCTCCCAGACCTCTGGAATAGGTTGACCCGTAGGACTTGGCTGGTCCTGAGAGGGAATTCGTCAAGTTGAGACCATTTTGTATGGAGAGTGAGTGAGAAAAGACAGGGAAAGGTGTCAGGCAAAAATGCTACAAATAGCTCTTCCTCCATTTCTAGGAGACAGGGCAGAGACATGAGAAGCATTGCACAAGAGGTTACACTAGAGGGAAGCGTCTCAGGGAGGCGGAGCTGTGGCCTGTGTGTAGCCTGAAGCCTAACACAGCTCTGCTGCTCGGTTCCTTTTTTTTTTTTTAAAGATTTATTTATTTATGCATACAAGAGCTGGGGTACAGGCCAGAGGCACGGTGGCGGGGGGAGAGGGGGCGGTGAGAGGACTCACCAGAGACAGAGTGGGGAACAGAAGAGGCAGATTGACTAAAGTACACTGCTGAGGGGAGCAGCGGGCGAGGCAGGAGAGGTCTGCTGTGCCATGTGGGTAGCTCCCTGGCCAGCTGGGGATCAAACTTGTGCTCAGAGGCTGCAGATAGCTTCATAGTGCGGTGCTTAACCCCTTGTGCCACCAGGGAGGCCCTGCTCGGTTCCCTTTTGCCATCCTGCCCTTTCCTGCTCACCCCTGCCCAGCCCAGGCCTGCTGGCCCCTGCCTACCATCACATACCTTCTTGAGCTGCTTGAGGTTGCTGGAGCGGATGGCGGCCAGCAGCTGGTCGCGGGAGTTCTTCTCCTGGGCGGGGAGGACTTTGTCCCCCATCTTCCTCTGAGTAGCCGGTGACAGTGAGTTCTTCAGGTTCTCCATGATAAGGGGTGGGGCCAAGGGAGGTGGAGGTGGGGGTGGAGCAGCTGGAGCACCCTCTTTCTTGGGTGAGTTCTTGGGAGAGGCCTTAGGAGATGGCTGGGGTGAGGGTTTGGGGGAGCCCTTGGCCAGGGCCCCAACCTTGGGTACCTCCAGCCGGTCCTTCTTCGTCCCACCAGCCTCCTGGGCCTGCCGTTGCTCCTGCAGTCGCTTCTGTCGCTGTTTGTCCATGTTGCGGCTGAGCAGGTTGGTGACGGTCATCCGGGGCCCGGCCAGCTCGAAGTGGTAGCCCAGCTTGAGCAGCGTGGAGTTCTCCTTCAGCAGCTTGGCGATCTCCATCTCCGTCTTGCCGCCGCAGATGTGCCGCTGGTTGTGGAAGCGGAGCTCTGTCAGCGTGCTGTTCTGCAGCAGGGCCCGGAAGATGGCCAGGATGCCCTTGCCGGTGATGTGGTTCGAGTCCAGGTTCAGGCTGGTGATGGTCTTGTTGGCCTTGAGCATGATGGCGATGGCGAAGGCCACGTGGTCATCGGCTCGCGTGTTGGCCAAGGCGAACACTTTGACCACAGTGTTGAACTCCAGGGCCTCGGTGAAGCGGACCAGAATCTCGTTCGTGATGCAGTCGGAGTTGTTCACGTTCACCTCGGTCATCTCTGGGTCGTTGTTCTTCACCCGCTCCAGAGGCTCGTCGAAGATGCTGGGAGCGGCTTCCTCCGCCTTGGCAGGTCCTTCCGAGGGCTTGGCGGGGGCACGGGGCGCTGGCTTCTCTGGGGTTTGGGCCTTGCTTTCGGCTTTGGGCTCCTTTTCACTTAGGGACTCGTCCTGTTTGGCTTTTTCGTCCTCCTTTTTTGTGTCTGCGTTTGGAGTCCCTCTTTTTACCTTCCCATCCTCCTTTCTCCCGTCTGTGTTCCCACGTCCTCTCTGCACCTGCTCATCCTCCTTCCCTCTGCCTGTGCTCCCGCCCGCCCCTGGCGCCGGCTCACCCTCCTCTTTCTTGCTTGGCTCCTTCCCCTCCTCTCTCTTCTTGTCCTTGTCCCGGATCAAGCCCGTGCTCCGGTCACGCCCCTTCTCCTCGTCCTTCCTGGGGGCGGCCGCCTGCTCCCCCGCCCGCCCGTCCTGCCCCATCTCCTTCTTGTCCACGGCCGCCCGCACCCGGCCCTTGTCGATGCCCCTGATGACCTTCTCCTCCTTGGGCTTCTCCCCACCCTTGCCATCCGCGTCCTCTTTGTCTCTTGAGAAGCTTTTCTTCAACGCCCCCTTCTTCGGCTCCTTCCCCAGGTCGGAGTCCCGCCGGGGGCCCAGGGCCTTCTTGCTGGCGTCTTTGGCCCTTTCGTCTCCATTCTGGGCATTTGCCCGGGTGCCTGCTTGCTTGCTTTCCTAGGAATTCAGGAAGGAACAATAAACATAAAGAGCCACTGCGCGAGAGCCCTGGGGGCAAGCGTGGACAGCGTGTGTAACTGCCCCCTGCTCTGAAGGCCAGTGTCCCTGCAGCAGCAAGAGGGACTTGGTCTCGAGCCGCAGCGACTGCAGGGACCTCAGACGCGACTCCTCAGGGTGTGGACACGCCGACGCGGACACCCGAGGAGGCGGTGGCATTGCCTTCCCCAGAGGATTCTCACACCTAGAACTCCCCTTTCTGGTCATGTACACGTTATTTGTTCTCCCCCCTCACCGCTGCCCACGGGTGACAGGAGGCACGCTGTCAAGCAGCGCCTCCCAGCCATATTGGAACCTGAGGTCAAAGGAAAAATCACTCATTCTGGTCCTGTCTTTACTTTAAAATGTTGTATTTTGGTTCATCATGGATTTTTCTTTCTTTTTGGGGGGAGGGGCATGAATGTTGTTGTTAACAGATATCAGCTATAGTGTTGGACTGAGCTTTCTGGCTTCCTCACTGCAGGCAGGTGCCTCGCCCCACTACCCTGGTCTGGCCCTGCTTCCAGAGTACAGGCTGGTGGCTCTCCAAAGCTGGAATTTTACAGCAAATACACTTTCAGAGGGAAGAAAACGTCAGAGGGACCGATATAGGGCTGCTATCATTTATTTTATCTATTAAATGTGTTCGTAAATTCTCTCCACCACCGTCATCTCACTGGAGAAGGAGCTAACAATAAAGAAAGTGGACAGAATAAAGGACATACTTTGACACTGGACATGTTGAGCTTTCTGGAAGGCCCACAAAATCACCCTTAACTTTTCATAAAAACTTTGCTAAGGATCAGCCCCTCTCTGGAAGAACCCTGGAATTCACCGGGTCAGCTGACTTTTGGGGCACTGCCTCTGCCAGGTTCAGGATCTAGGGTGCAGTGGCTCCATTTGGACCACACTTGCAAAATGGGTTCCGAGGGGGCCTGTGAATGAGTCATGGGGGCCAAGCTGGGGGCCTGGGCTTTCCTGCCAGCATGAGGACCTACAGGGACCCTCCACAGGGTCCTGTTTCCTCCTCCATACCTAGGACTAAATATTAAACTGTTCCACTATGATAGAGACCCCAAGAAACCAAGGCCTCGATGAATGCAGTGATGTTCTTCCCTAAGGGTTTTCTAGAGGAGGAAACTGGCCTGGTTTTCAGAAAGGTTTGCTTTCTGGCATGCCTCGCTGGGATGTGGGAAGAGGGGGAGGGGAGGAAAAGCAGATTCCATCCTGCTCTCTGGCCAGGCAGCCCTCACCCCCTCCCCTAGGGACTGGAGAGCTGGTTAGTCCTATGGAAACAGTTTGTACCTGCACCACAAACAGAGGCCATTGGGGACCAGCCCCAGAGTTTATTTAACAGCCAAAGTCCTTGGCTCCTCTGCTAGAATCACAACAGGCAGCCAAGGGGCATGGAGCCCGGTGAGACAGGGCCTTGGAATGTACCCTTTATTCCTCTGCCCCTTAGGCCCCAGGGCCCAGCTGCTAGGGACTCACTGGGCTGTGGGGATGGAGAAAGCCCTCTTTTGCACTTGCTCTGGCTCCTGGGGAGATGGGTTTGACCTTCAGGGGCAGAGGTAGTGCTGGTTTTCTGCATCTTGATTTGAGAGGGAGAGACAAGCTTGCACATGGGAGGTTAGTAGGAAACCCAGTGGGTCAGCCCATTCAGGGGACACGGAATGGCCGCCGCAGCTTGGCAGGGCACACCTGCTTTGTACCTGGCCCACTGGGTTTCACTTCTGGGGCTTGGGGGTGGGGTGGGGAGGGGCAACAGAGTCCAGCCCAAGTTCCAGAGGTCAGGCCCAAGGTGAAGACTCTCCCCTCCCCCTCCCCAAATGTGCACCCTCAGGATTTCTCCGAACCCAGCAGCATTGCCCAGCTGCCCCTGCAGAACTCCCGCGCGGCCAACGGCTTCTCTGAGGGGAAATTGGGGTTCCAAAGAGACTATAACTTCACCACTATTACCCAGGAGCTCAGGAAAACTGGATTTCAGCTCTAACTGTCTAGTAACCAATGGGCCGACGTAACCTCTGTCATTGCTCAAGGGCTGAGGCGTCACCTGTCTGCCTGCTGCCACACCGGCCCTTCCTCTCCCAGCCCAACCCGGCCCACTCATTTCCAACATGTCAACCCTCTCTGTGCCAACACTCCAGAGCCTGACCTGGCCCCTTTGTCTTCACCCAGGACCCCGCCCCACACCACCTCGGTGCCCTGTAGCTCGGGGTCCTAGCTGGCTGGGCCCTGCCGGGTGTCTGTCCTCCAGGAGGTGTGCCAACCCTTTAAAAAGATCCTAATGAAAAACAGGCTGGGGGTGGGTGGGGGAAAGGGCTGATTAATCATCGGTTTCCTCCAAATAGCCAGGAATGAGTGGGGCTAGGGCTTGTTGAAGCTCGTGCTGCCCTGAGAGCTCAGATGTTGCCTTAAAAGGAGAAGGAGCGGAGTCCTCGGCTGCCGAGCTCCTCGGGACATAGCAGAGCTGCCTCCTTCATGCTTATCTGGATGCGAGTCCAGGCCAACCGCTTTTGCTTCTAGAACTGGTGGTACATCCCAGTCACCTCCAGGGCTTATTGATGCCCGTGCTCTTGTCCCCAGGCCTCGCCTGTCTATTCATGGTGGTGACAGGGTTAGAGACAACACTCGGAGAACTTCCGCCCAGCAAAGGTTCACAGGCTGTGAATACGAGACCATGCAGCAGTCACAGGTGGTTTAGGGACCTTCCGGAGGCAGGGGATGACCTCTGAGAAACTCTGACGACCTGCGACCCACTGCTGGGACCCAGTGACCAGGCTTGGAGGTGGGAAGCAGCTGCTTCCTCTGTCCACTCCAGGCTTATGGCCCCACGATGCTCTGTGCCCGTCAACTTGAGTCAGGAAACAAGTTCAATCAATGTCTTGAGAGGTTCAGATGGGCCTAATGCACCATATTTCCCCTGCCTCGGGCCTTCCAAATTCCTTCCTCCACAAAAAGAGAACTTCTGTGGGTGCATTTGCTCATGCTCACCTCTAAGGCCACCTCTTCCTGAGGAGGAGTCATGCCCAGAGGCAGTTCTGGCACCTCAGGGAGTCTGCATCCCTCCCTGGAGCAGACACAGCACTGAGGGACCCTGGGCAAACCTCAGAGGGGAGATGGGAGGTGGAGGCACCCGGGACATGGA